TGTTCTCTTATCTCCCATTTTTTTCTGTCTCCATTCGTACCAGGGCTCAGTGTTGGTTGGTCCTACTATGGGTTGGCTCAACAACCAAGAGTAAGTCACTTGAAGACAGGCTTGCCTGGTTGTTCCTCATGGAACTACCAGTGAGCTAGGCGCAGCTGGAGCTAGAGCACCTCCAGGGACTCCAGGCCTCTAAGGATGGCCCTTGGGGCCTAGCAGTGTCTGCTTCAGGCCTGAGACTGGGCTGAGCTGGGCAGGCAGCCAAGCCTGTGCTCAGGAACAGCAGCCAGGGTTGGCACAGAGGAAGGAGGACTCTGGAGGCTGGTGTGCAGAGAGGGAGGGAGGGTGTAAGGAACAGCTGGAGCTAAGGTTGAAGGAGAAAGGCTGGGGACTGATCTTGATCTAGTGTAAGCTGAACCAAGTTCCTGTCTGGTAAATAAATACCCAAAGGAGTATAAAGGCTTAGAGTAGGTTTCTCAGTTAGTGTGTATGTGGATAGTTCCACCTCCCCATTTTTTTTTTCCAGCCCTTCTCCCACCTCTCTTTGTCCTTGGTACTGTTTGATCCATTTGTGCCACATAGCTAAACAAGAGAGCAGTCACTTATGAGACACACTTGACTTGCAGTGGTAGAGCTGGACTGGCTACTGAAGAACACTTCCTATGTGTGAAAGAAGCTTAAGTCTGTCAGTGACTTTGTGATAGCAGTAATAATAATGATTACAGAGAGAGGCGGCCACTTCATTGAATGTTTCTATATACCAAATACGTGGATTATCTCATTTCCTCTGCTCAACAGCCCTTGGAGGTGCAGTGGAATGAGCTGCTGACAGATTTGGTCAATAGATGCCATCACCGATTCACCAGTCTCTGAATTACTGTGCTTTCTCCCTTCCTAGATAGCTTCCTTGACCTCAGTGTGCTGCCATTTAATTTCCTGAAACTCAGTAATTATTGCACAAGGCTATGTTTCTATATGACTGTGATTACAATGTGCTAGCAGATAGGTAGTGATATTCATTACTAATAATTGTGTTGTTTTTGGAAACTAGGCACTAGAGTATCTAGATTATACAGAGGCTGTCCGCAGGTGGCAGTGGGAGAGAGGAGAGCCACCTGGGAAGACACCTCCATTAACAGAGTGTAATTGCCTAGAAATCTAGAGATCCTGTCTTTGCAGAGCTACAGAAGTGAATGCAAGAGGAAAGGGAAAGCCTGTCTCGGGTTAGGAACAGGGTATGGCTAACAATTTAAAGATTCACCAAGACACAACTTGTTTTTTACTGAGGATCAATCCCAAGGAAATCACATCCTGTGGAGAGCCTGATTCTCTGTGTGCTGGGGCTTTGGAGCTTTTTTAATCCAGTCAGTGGTGTGGTATGAGATTGGTTTTGTTTCTGAGACTGGGTCTCACTGTGTAGATCAGGCTGACCTTGAACTCACAGACGTCCACTTGTCTCTGTTGGGATTCCCAAGTGCTGGGATTAAGCACTATGTCTGGCCTTTTATTATTACTATTGTTAATAACATTGTAAAATTGTTTGTAATTACGTGAGGGGGAGGCGTGTGTGCTCATGTACCATGCATATGTGTGGTGGTCTGGGACAATTTTCAGAAGTCTGTCTTTCCCTTCTACCATATAGGTCCTTGGGATTGACCTCAGGTTATCCCTAACCTGGTGGCAGGCACCTTTATCACTGAGCCATCTCAGCAGCACTTGTGAGACTGTTTTTTAGATGGACTTGAGCTAATGACTTTGGGGCTAGGACTGACTGGATGTACCAGGTACTATTATCTACGTTTCCTGACTGATCATGTGCAATATGTAAGTAGATATAGGAAATTCAGTTGGTCACAGAGCTAGGCTTCAGTTTCATGGCTGTTGTTTCCACCACACTGATGTGGAGCAGGTCTAGGGCAAGTGGACTAGTTCATCTCCTCCTTTCCTGGGATGGGGAGCTGTGAACCCAAGGGCAGCATACTTGGAACCATGGCAGCTAGGCTGGCCTGGCCCTGGGGAGCGCACTGGATATCTTTGAGTATGTATGCAGACAGTGTGGTGTTCTTTCTGGTGGCTGATGGTTAAGATCTGCAGTTCTGAGGTTGCTGTATTGTTGCTCCTGAGCATTACTCACTGTGCTGTCCCATGATCCTTTTGGTCATGGTTTCTTGAACTAAACATTTCAGTTTCTGTTTGTTCTGTGATGTTGGATAAATTTACTGTACGTTTGCAGAGCCTCAGTTTCCCTGTCTTTAAATGGCATTGTGGTGAGGAGATCACATGAGCTAATAATGTTTTTAAAATGCTTACTTAGTATTGAGCTTGGCTCTGTATCAAATGCTCTATAATTGATGGCTACTATTAGCCAACAGCCAGTGAAACCTTCAGCTTTGAAAGACTGAAGAAGGTTCTGACAGCCTCTTGAACACAGGACTGGTTGCTGTGACTGGGCCTGGAAAAGCCCAGAGACTCAAAAAGCAACCCAGGAGCAGTATCAACCAGCAGACAAGAAAATACTAGCTCTGACTTGAGACCACTACTCCATCCCACTAGAATGGGAACCTTTCAAAGAAAGGAACTATGATAGAAGAAAGCCGACCTTCTGTCACTGGGTGATTGATCATCTGCCGACATTGATTTCCCCCTCTTTTTCTCATCTGCTGAACATATTAACAGCCTTCAGGCTTCAACTAGTTCCGCTGTATCAGGTCATCAAAAGATGCTTTTACATGAAGACCCAGCAGAGTAAATGGGATTTAGGCCTCTATGGTAGCCCCATTTGTTCTGCCCTTACCTTTAGGCCTTGGTGCCAGGCTTTGGAAGGAACTGCTGTACTGAGGCATCTGTCCAGTGGGGGTGGGGTGAATGGCCTGGGTAGGTGGGTCAGACGGAGGGCAGGAAATCCTCTTATCGCACCGGGTGATGGGCCTCCTGCAGCGGGAGCTGAGCAGCAAACACTGGTGAGTCAGCCAGTCTGTGAGCATGTGGGGTTTGTGTAAGTTTGGGCCTTTTGTTTCTTTCAGCAATCTAGACTTTAGAAACACAAATCTGGAAACCAGACCCTCCACATGCTGCAGTCCTTGTTTGGAGAGAATTCTGCTGGAACAGTTGCTTCTCTTGTATGATGGTCTTCCAAGAATTAACCCCTTGCCTTTTGAAATTTGAATAGGTTTCACTTATGGCTTACTACATGGCCCAAAGTATGAACAGCCTGTGAGAAACCATGCTGGGGTCTGTCACTTTTCATAGCCAAAACACTTTTAAGGGTGTGTGTGTGTGTGTGTGTGTGTGTGTGTGTGTGTGTGTGTGTATGTGTGTGTGTGTCTTTTAAAGCAAGTTGAAACCGCAGTTATTTTGAGGGCATGTGTAGACATGTCTTTGTCTCAGAGGGTGGAGAACAGGACACACCCTGATAGGAGTCTGCCTTAGCTACAGGAATGGTTGTGGGTCCTTTTAGATGACTACACTCACTGCTTCCTTTTAGAGAGAATTCCTCTTAAAGGGAACTCCCAGTTTATCTGGACACTGTTGATAGAAGCTGTTTAATTTTTTCAGCCTTTCTTAACAACTGCCCTTTGTCCTATTACCAGACTCCTAAGAACTCTGAATTTGCACCATGAAGTGCTATGGAGGCTCCTTAGAAGTGGGAGGGCCATGCCAGACCAACATTGATTTTTTTTTTTTTTTGGTCTGATGTCTGCTTTCCTTGTTACACTTCTGGCTCCGCATCCACACACTTTAACAGTGCAGTGTCAGTGGCCGCCATTGTTCTAGTAGTTGGCAGAATTTCGCAAGTACTAAATTGCAAATGGATTTTCTGTTATAGCAAACTAGTTGACAGTTAAGAACAAGCCCTGAGTAGACTGTATTAGAGAAGTTGCTTCTGCTTTTGTCACAAATTTCTAGCAGTTCATATAAAAATTAAGTTATAACAAATAATAAGAACTGAAAAATTTGCTCAGTGTAGCCTTTCAATCTGGCAGTTGTATCTCTTTGAGACTGTACTGGGTGTGGAGACACACCTAGGTTGGGAAAGTACCTGGACTACAGGCTCCATATAGGTGGGTGGAGCAGGGCGGAGCTAGGACGGTACACCTGTGTGACTCCAAAGGATCAGACACATTTCAGTTGACTGGTTGGCTAGGCCCCTGCTTGTAGTTTTGACATCGCAATTCTTTACCTCAACATTAGACCATTATGAGATTACAGGTGGCTTGGATATGGCCTCTTCTCCCTGTCCACCAGAATCCAGTCTGACAAACCAAACAGTGTATTTTATTGGACTTATTGAGGAGCGTGAATGACCTTAAAGCAGCTCCAGTACCTTACTGAAGTCTTGCTTTCAGTTAATTTTTCACTCCTTATTTCTGCTAGCATCTGAGAGAGAAGAGATGGCTACTGTGAGGTTCCTTTAACTCTCCTCAACTCCTACTAAGGAGTGTCATCAGTTCCATCCATTACTGTTATCATAGACTTAGCCACTTCTGTATTGTTCTGCTCAATTAGTTGCCATGGCTACCAGGCCAAGATAATTTATACTCCAAGGTGTTGCTTTTGTTATGCTGGGAAGAAAAGACTTACTGTAACAATCTTTGTTAAAATCTGAACACATAGGTTATTTGGTGTAGAGCCAGGTGATGAACTTCTGGCTTAACTCAGGTCCAGATAACTTTCTTATGTGGAGGCCAAAGTTGACAAGACATATATCCCCAGAACACTGTCAGAAATGTAGTCTCTGATGTTCTGCAAATGAATCAGCCTCTTGTAACCTATGCTACTTTAAGGATTCTAGGAATTTCCCATGCTGGTTCTCCGTGCATCCCTTAGCCACCATTTCCAAGGGTAAGCCATGGAGATGAACTATAGGAGAGGTGGGGGGTGGGGTACAGTCTTTCCCTTGTTAGCTAAGTGAAATAGAGTGGTCTTTGGTGGACAGTCCTGGAGTGTAGTATATCTACCCCACTCCTCTGCCTATAGGTGACTGTTATGTAATTTCCTTCCAGGTTGGCTGGCTCCTCTAACTGATGGCATGTTGAAGTACATGGGCCAGCAGCAACGAGGGCATCTGATCCAGAGGGGGCCACTCTAGAGGCCAGGCCATCACCACCATGGGCCAGTGTGTCACCAAGTGCAAGAATCCTTCATCAACCTTGGGCAGCAAGAATGGAGACCGTGACCCTAGCAGCAAGTCACACAGCAGGCGGGGAGCTGGCCACCGTGAGGAACAGGTGCCACCTTGTGGCAAACCAGCTGGGGATATCCTTGTCAATGGGACCAAGAAAGCAGAGGCTGCCACTGAGACCTGCCAGCTGCCAACATCTTCTGGAGATGCTGGGAGGGAGTCCAAGATCAATGCTGAGGAGTCTTCCCTGCAGAGATTGGAAGAACTGTTCAGGCGCTACAAAGACGAGCGGGAGGATGCAATCTTGGAGGAAGGCATGGAGCGCTTTTGCAATGACCTATGTGTTGATCCTACGGAATTTCGAGTGCTGCTCTTGGCCTGGAAGTTCCAGGCAGCTACCATGTGCAAATTCACCAGGTTAGTTACAGATGCTTCCATATCAGCAGGTGAACAGAGGAAAGAAAGTGACATTGGGTAGTAGTACCAGGTAGGGCGGAACTGGGCTGACTTCAAAGGTTTGGGGCAAGTCTCCCCTCATTTCTGGCCATTTTCTCTAAAGCTTAAGTGTTCTGAGTTGTAGTTCTGATCCAGAGAACTCCCTAGACTCTCCCAAGGATTATTATTTTACCACAAATCTGGTACTGTGGCATAATTCCTGAACAGATTTCTCAATAGGGATTTATGTCTCCATAAAGCCTTGAATTCCTTTTTTTTTGGGGGGGGTTGTTTTTTGAGACAGGGTTTCTCTGTGTAACAGTCCTGGCTGTCCTGGAACTAGCTCTTGTAGACCAAGTTGGCCTTGAACTCACAGAGATCCACCTGCCTCTGCTTCCCTGGTGCTAGGAATACAGATATGTACCACCACTGCCTGGCTAAGCCTTGAATTCTTTACCCTTGTACTTCAGCCTCCAAGGGCTGGGTTTATAGACGTGTACCATGTGCTGTCCTGTTTTTTTTCCTCATAGAATAAAACACTGCCTGATTGATAGGTCACAGTTGTATTTATCATAGGACAAAGAGGCAGCCTAACTCTGGCTGCCAATACTCTGCCAGAAGTTAAAACGGACTAAGCAGTGTGAAGCCTGTTGCTAAGCTGCTGCTCAGCCGCACCGATAGCTGCTCAGAACTTGTCTCTTGCTCCTTTATATGTCAGTTCAATCATTCGATATTTATCTGTAGTCTGCCGGGCATTAAGTGTCCACAGTTAGTAAGTGCTTCTGGAATATACCTCTGTAGCTAGGCCTGTGTGCAGCGAGGCAGCTGGCCCCAGTTGTCAAGAGGGAGTTGTACAAATTGTCATAGTTATGTATCCATATTGGGGTTGTTTGTATATAAGGATATGGCAGGATCATGGCAGGCCATGACTTGAAGAGTGCAGGGTTATGAATAATAACTGACTTTATTTTTTATTGTTGTTAAAGATGGAGTCTCACTATATAACTCTAGTGGCCTGGAACTGGATATGTAGACCAAGGTGGCCTCAGACTTCAGGATCTGCCTGCCTCTTGAGTGCTGGGATTAAAGGCGTGAGCCATCATACCTGCCCTGGCAGAACGGACTTCAAAACTCATCCATATGGCCAGTAGATCTGCTCAGTAGATCAGATGCCTCACACTTGAGAAACTTGTACAGTCCCTGAGATGATAAGTGTGAAACCATGTTATAAACTGCAAAGTACTGTATACATGATAAAAAATACATACACCTGGGTGTGGTGGTACATGTCTATAAACCCAGCCCTCAGGAAGCTGAGGTGCAAGGGTAAAGAATTCAAGGCTCGTTTGGGCTACCCTATCTCATAAAACAACAGAAACAAACAAAAATATAGTTAAAAGGTTTTAAAAACTACATAGTTTTGGTTTTGTATGTGTGTGCATACACATGCCATGCTTTGAGTGTGAGGGGCCAAAGGACAGCTTGAGGGAGTTGGTTCTCTGTCTTATGGGCTCTTGGGATCAAACTCAGGTCTTAGTAGCAAGTATGTTTACTTGCTGAGCTATCTTGTCAGGCCCTCAAAGCCACATTTATGTGATTGTTTTTTCCTTTCTATTTTATGTTTATGGGTGTATTGCCTACATTGTATGTTTCTGCTGTGTGCATTTCTGGTACCCTCAGAGGCCAGAAAAGTGTGTGAGATCCCCCAGAACTGGAGTTACAGGTAGTTGTGAGCTGCCATGTGGGTTAGAGGAATTGAACTGGGCTTCTTTGGAAGAGCAGTCAGTGTAATCCACTTTGCCATCTCTTGAGCTCTGTTTTTTTTCTTTCTGTCTGTCTATCTCTTTATTTTCGAGGCAAGGTCTGACTATTGAGCCTTAGCTGTAGAACACTGTATAGACCAGGCTGGCCAAAAACTCAGAGATCCTCCTGTCTCTGCCTCCTGAGGGCAGGAGGTTACTGTGCTGTTGTTACTGTGCTGTCTTGCCTCATCATATATGGCATCATTTTTACTTATTAATCATACCTTTTCCTACCTGTCGCAGGAAGGAGTTTTTTGATGGCTGTAAAGCAATAAGTGCAGACAGCATTGATGGGATCTGTGCACGGTTCCCTAGCCTCTTAACAGAAGCCAAACAAGAAGATAAATTCAAGGATCTCTACCGGTTTACATTTCAGTTTGGCCTGGACTCTGAAGAAGGGCAGCGGTCACTGCATCGTGAAATAGCCATTGCCCTGTGGAAACTAGTATTTACCCAGAACAATCCTCCTGTATTGGACCAATGGCTCAATTTCCTAACAGAGAACCCCTCGGGAATCAAGGGCATCTCCCGGGACACTTGGAACATGTTTCTCAACTTCACTCAGGTGATTGGCCCTGACCTCAGCAACTACAGTGAAGACGAGGCCTGGCCGAGTCTCTTTGACACCTTTGTGGAGTGGGAAATGGAGCGGAGGAGAAGAGAAGCAGAGGGGAGAGGTGCACTCAGCTCAGGGCCCGAGGGCTTGTGTCCAGAGGAGCCGCACTGAGGATCTGCCTGCTGCCCAGCAGCCAAGTGAGGAATTGGACCTTTCTGGAAATTACTGAAGATCCGGATATTTTCTACTTTACACCTTTCTCTGCCTTGTATTTGAAAGGGCTCTAAAATGCTGTATCATGTTTTAGGCACTTTCTTCATTTTTTTGGTTATTTTGGTTATTTCTTTTTTGGGTGAGAAATCCCCCAAAATATTTGAACCTGGCTACATGTTGTGTACCTTTTTTGAAGCCTTCAGATAGAATAAGCCTGCCATTTCTTGCACAAATGTATTAGATTTGTTTTGGTTTTGTGGGGGAGGGTGTAGGCCTGGGTGGGGAGGGACTGTTGGGTTGAGTTAACATTACAAATGACACAGTGCCAGATCTCAGTTTTGCATATTACTTTTCAGGGCAGGTCTGTACTGTGTGTAGTGCTGTTTACATGGTTGAATTTAGGTTGTAATAATTATTTTAAAAAATTTACACAGATATGAATAGCAGTGTTAACTGTTAGCCACATTGCATTAATTTCCAGACAGTTTGGAGCTCTTGGAGAGCCAGGGCCAAGGCCAGTCAAGAGCATTTGCAGCCTGACGCCCCACCCATCCCTTTAAGCTAATTTATCCAAAGCCCTTACCTCCCTCACTTCTTGCCCATTCCTTCTTTGACCTATTGCATTTCATGTTTAGTTTATCCATCACCATGCTGTACCTGTCAGTCAAGTGAGCAGTTTTGTTTTGTTAGAACACATTGTACTGAAAACCACTTAAGCGTTGAATGCAGAGAAAGCAGTGCTACCTCAGTTTTGCTGGAAGTAGACTTCTTTGATAGTTTTCTTTGATGTTTTGTATTTTCATGTCATGAGTGGAAATGCTTTTTTTTCTTTCTTTCTTTTTCTTTTTTTTTTTCATTTGCCTTGGAGCCAAAGTTTCTGTTCTGGGTGGTGAGAAAAGCATGCCTGCCGGCTAGCTGACCAAGAAAGCTATGGCATGGAACTCTGCTTCAAACTGTTTTTTTTTTTTTTTCCTTTAGTTTTTATTGAGTATCATCAGCTTACTTGTCTGGCAAGTGCAGAAGCCTGAGGCTGGCCTGAACTCTGCCAAACAAATTATCCAAGTGTATTGAATCATTAAATGTATGCCCTTTCCCTCTCTGCTGCGCCCACGTTGTCACTTAACCCCCAGGAGTTATTTATTATCTTTTTGTTAATGTCAAGCTCATTTGGGGTAATGTGATGACTGTTTAGGTTTACATGACCCTCCTCTCCTTCCCTTACCCCCAGATCTGTATATATACATATATAAGATATGTATATATTTTACCTTTATAAAATATATATATACACATATATGTATCTATATTCCTTTATTTGTCTGCTAAAACTGGCCATAAAAGAGGGAGCTGCCTTTGATCTGTAGTTAAGAAGATGCCAGGGAGCATCATAAATGGAGGCTATTGTATATGAATTTGGACATTTTCACTAAACTTGAATGAATTTGCTCACAGGAAGGAGGAACCAGTTCTCTAGACTCCACATGTTCACTCTGCCAGGCCAGCTTTGATCAAGCTGCCACCAGGGCTTGAGGAGCTGACTCTGTCCTACTTAGTTTACTAGAGGACCCTCTTGATAATTTCCTATTAAAAAATATCCTCAAAAAAATTGTACTGGAAGGTGGGTGGTAGGAGCTTGTATAGTTCCGCTTCCAATACTTCGGAACAGATTAAAAAGGGAATCTTTTAATAAAAGTTACAAAAATATTTATACTCTTGATACAATGAAAAGTGTCTATTAAATATTTGGAATTTTCTCCCTTGATTAGTCTACCCCAAATCCTGGGTATATGTTTCTCACCATGGGCAAGAGTTGCATGCTTTGAGTTCTTTATGAGTCTTATAGCTCTGGGCTCCTGTCTTTATAAAGATGATTATTTAAGGTGATGACAGTCCTATTTCTTAAAACTATATTGACACGGAGCGTTTTTGTAGGCCTGACAACTGTCCTTTTTTGAGGCACAGATAAGAAACCTGAAAATCAGCCCCAGATGTAACATAGTCCTGGAAGGCTGAAGAGGCTGGTGGCCAGGTGTGATCCTTTCTTCTAGCCATAGTAAGACAAAGTCCTTGAGTAAGTCAGTATCCAGGGGCCCAACAGTTTCCTAGGGCACAGCTACACAGCAGGCTTTGGAGATCTCACCCAGCCAGTCGTTCCTAATGCTGGAGTAGGTGGAAGTCCAATGAGGGAAGAAGTAGTGGAGTGTTGTAGGTAAGACTTTCTGTCCCAGGTAAAAAAAGGGTAAATGTGGCAGGGAAGTGCCAAGAGAGGGAAGCAGTCAGGGCCCCATGGACTCAAGGAAATAGATTTCTTTCCCTCTGGGTAGATTCTGATTGATGCTCAGTTTCTCCAACCCATCATTTAGAAATTATTTGTGATTGTATTTATAAAGCTCTGTTGTTGAGAAACCAGATATTTAGAGGGACTTGGGGTTCTCTGTGCAGTGGTTTTTTGTTTGTTTTGCCAAGAGTTTCACAGTGAGGTATAAGGTTTGTAGTTAACATTTCTGAGAAACAAAAGCCTCTGTTTCACTCACCCTCAGATAGGCTTGCTCCAGCACTGGCTGGAGGCCAAATGTTTGCCCCTCAGGTAAGCCAGCTTTGTGACACTGGGGTGATGTGGGGAGGTGTGATATGTGGGTACCATTTTGGAATTCTGCAACATTACTACACAGATTCTGTTGGAAAATTGCTTACTTTTGGCAAGTGACTTTTTGAGTTCCCATGGTATTTCTTTAGTAATTTATTAGGAAGCTGGTATGAGGTAAAGGGTTGCTTTATTGATTCTTTCCCCTAGCCTTGCCAAACTTGAATGTATCATTCTTAATGACACTTTGCTGTACTTCTAGGGGTGGTCTCAGCAGCTCTCTTTACTGTGGCAGATGTGCCAACATGTGTATTGTTGGGTCCAAAAGCCTGTATGTACCCATCTGATAAAAGAAAATCTCTCCAGAGCTGGCTGAAAATTCAAATTTCAGCCAAAGCTTTAGGCTAAGGGAAAGATAACAGAAAATGTGCAACACAGTATTGTTCATATTGGATGGACACAAAGTAACGAGTTAAGCTGCACACAGTATTAGCTTGAAACAGTCTCCTAGGGCCTGGTCTTCAGACCAGGTCAGGTTATGGGACCCCATAGATTATGTACTTGGACCATTGGTGGGAAGTTGCTGAGATAAAGACTAGTCCAAAAACTAAGGAAGCAAAAGGTCTGTATATTGGAATGTATGGTTTTGCTATATTTCAAGTGGGGTCTTCAGTGCAGCAGGTAGACCCGGCTATACAGTTACACAAGGGACAGGAGAAAGCTACTGTTAAAAGTCTCCCTCTCCCCCTTCTTTCTTAGACTTATTTTTCCATGTATGTTAGGATGGCTAGTGATGACTTGAACATCTCGGTAACTGACAAGGGTCTTACTTGAAGGACTCAAGCAGTATTTAGCTTTAATACTTGAATGAACAAAATTATCAAAATATGTCTGTTAGAGCTTTTTAAAGGACATATGACATTGATCCTCCCTTCTGGGTCATGTAGATGGGAACTTCTTGCCACTCCTCTTCAGAGTACATTCCTATGGTAAGCTGTAATAGCAGTCCATACCAGTTGGCCCAGGACTACATGCTGGGAATGATTATCAGCCTCTCCCCCCCACCTTTAAAAAAGAATGATGCTAAGCAATGGGCGCAGATGCTGAGATGGTGTGATTAGCTGAGTAATCAAGTTCTGATTCTAGTGTTGGAGTGGAGTGTTCTGTTTCTCTTGGAAACCCAGCCTGCTCTCAGATACCTAATTCTATCATGTATCTATCTTATGCATTGCCAGAAGAAGCCATTCAGCAGCTGCTGTTTTTCTCTCAGCACAACTGTATTTGCTATGGAAGAAGTACCTTCCCTCTAATACTGGTCCCCAGTCCTCAGAATCTGATTAACTGCTCTTCCCTGCTGCACTGAGTATGGGTAAGGTTTCAAAGAGGGAATTTGAAGCAATAGGTAAACAGGGCTTGGTTGAATTTTGGTATCACACATATCCTGTCTTAAGCCGCTGAGGTGATGAGTCCACTGCTCATGTGACCCTCCACCTTTGTGGATCCCTCTTGGTTTGTGATCAGCATATGTCTGAGGTTGTACAAACTTGACAAAAGGTAATACTTTTGTATTCTCTGCACTGTTGCACTCTTCAAATAGCCCCTGAATATTAACTTGATATACACATTTTTGTCTTTGATGTCTACAGTATTTTTTGTTTTTGTTGTTGTTTTTTATTTTGAAGGTTATCTGCTGTTGGATTCAATAAATTTGTTTACCTGACTATTGATATTTCTGCAGAAAACAAAAACAGTAAATTTATTCTGAGGCATAAGTTATAAGACTTTTTCAGTGATGCTGTGTGCCCTGTTAATTGTGTGGGAAAATGACCCATGTAGGATAGGAGCCCAGCTCCAAACACAGGTGATCTCCGTGCACCGTCCCTGTTACTGAAATCGTCTTTCTTACCTCAAGTCCCATGAAAAAAGTCCATCTTGAGTCCTAGGTATGCCCCTAGGTCTAATCAGGCTTGCAGTGATTAAGTTTACTTTTTATTCATCTGCAAATTAAAGGCATATCCATCAGTGTTAGGATTTAAGAAAAGGTCTACGAAACATCCATGATACCTCATAGTGTTCAACCATCCCTCCAAAAAGATGTTAGGTACATTGTGGGGCAGGGGCAGAGTTTAGTGTGTGGCATTTACATTTGATCTTTCATCACTCAAGCTCCCTAAAAGGGCTCAACTTTTATTGTGCCAAATTGGGAGAGGAATTTTTTCTTTTTAAATCTTATTTTATATACCAGTCCCAGTTCCCTCTCCCTCCTGTCCTTCCACTCTCCCCACCTTTCGTCTCCTCCCCCATCCACTCCTCAGGGTGAGGCCTCCTATGGGGAGTCAAGTCTGTCATATCACTTGAGGCAGGACACCAGGGCATCCTCTGTATGTAGGCCAAGCAAGGTATCCCTCCATAGGGAATGGGCTCCAAAAAGCCAGTTCACACACTAGGGATAAATACTGGATCCACTGCTAGTGACCCCACAAACTGCCCATGCCACACAACTGTCACCCACATTAAAAGTTCAGTCTTATGCTGGTTCCCCAGCTGTCAGTCTGGGGTCAGTGAGCTCCCACTGGCTCAAGTCCGCTGTTTCTGTGGATATTCCCAACATAGTCTTGGCCCCTTTGTTCATAAGTATCGCTCTTCCCTCTCTATGACTGGACTCCAGGAGCTCGGCCTAGTGCTTAGCTGTGGATCTCTTCATCTGCTTCCATCAGTTACTGGCTGAAGGTTCTATGATGACAATTAAGGTGGTCATCAATCTGATTACAGAGGAAGGGCAGTTTAGGTACCCTCTCCACGACTGCTTAGATTCTTAGCTGGGGTCATCCTTGTGGATTCCTGGGAGTTTCCCTAATGCCTGGTTTCTTGCTAACCCCACAGTGGTTCCCTCTTTTAAGGTAACTCTTTCCTTGCTCTCCCTCTCTGTCCTTTACCCAAACAGATCTTCCCAATCCCTCATGTCCTCCCTGCTCCCTTTCTCCCCACACCCTTAACACCCTCCCCTTTCCCCTCATGCTGACAATTTATTAAGGAGATCCTTGTCTACTTACCCTTGGGGGGGGGTGTGTCCATTTATGTATCTCTTAAGGTTCTTGTTTCCCGTCTTCAGGAGAGGAAAAATCTAACAAGAACATCTATTCTTAACTTCTAGACTTCAGCCCCTTAGTCCCTCTCTCGTACTTTCTTGTTATTGTCTGTTCAACAATGGCACTGACTAGTCATCTTGCTCATTTCTTTGGTGGAAGTGCTAATGGTTCCTAAAGGTTCCTAGCCTCTTGGTATCTTCTAAGATGTAGTAGGTGCAGGATAGGGATCAGAAAAGGCTTTTCAGTTAGAAAGGTCTTAATAAGCTTGATATTCTCTAGAAATTGTATAGTTTTACCCTTGTTCCACACTCCTCCCATTAACTACTTCTGGGCTTTGTCCCTTCTATTAAGCACAGATAGGGACTGACTGATTGGAGAGTAGCAGAGTGGAATGGAAGATAGCCAACTTGGGTGCTGTTAACAGCGCTGTATGGATTACAAGCAGATAAAATCCATTTTCAATTATATGATTGGCAAATAGTTTTTATACAGTTACCAGATGAGCATAATTGCATATGGAATGGACTTCTACCAAGAAAGTATGCAAAAAGGAGTTCAGAGGGATAGAGAAGAGTCTTCAATTCTCGTCTCTCCTATCAAGTCCTCAAAGCAGATAGCTGACTTGGCTCTAGAAGTTATCCCTCTAGCCCTTGGTGTTGACCCAAATTATAAAAGAAGCAAAGGTAGATAATTGGGTAAATTTATCTACATATGAGAAAAATACTATATGCCGAGGTGTCAGGAGGTATAGAGGTCAAATCATTAGAGATATATAGGCCTTGCCATTGACAATTTACATTGATCCTTGGATCAATGGGGCTTTAAATTACAAGATTTCTATGTCTTAAAAAGCAAACTAGAAACACTTTAAATGTTTCTAACACATTTAATCCACAGGAAGCTCTTAAAAAGTCAACATGGAAAAGTAGTTACCTTTCCAACACACCAGAAAACAGAAATATACAGCCTGCTGAAGAAAATCTGGCCAAAAAGCTTCTAAGTTAGATGTCAATCTAAATGGTACTCAAGAAAATAGTAATTAAACATATGAAAATGTTCTTTAAAGCAGCACACTGGCTGCATTAAAGATTTGAGACAAATTACGCTGGTAAACAGTGGGATCATTTTGTAGTTAAAAGAACTAAGTATCAATATGCATCAGTACAGTAGCTTTCTTAGAAATGCCTGCTGAGTGTGTATGTGCAAGAACGTGGTCTAAGGTTCAGTCAACAGTCATCGTTTAAAAACTATGAGTTATGACAGTATATCATGTAGCTATTTTAAAAATCTGAATAATGATAGAAAAATCTAAGCTTGTAAAATACTGTCAGTCATTGCTTCTGGGTGGTTGGATATAATTTACACTGATTTCCCTATTTATTTTTTAAGAGGTAATTTTCAGAGGTCCAAGGAAATAAAAACAAATGTGGCTTTAGTGTTGTTCTGAGCAACCCCAATATAGTATGCACAGGAGTTCCAAACCCAAATCAAGAGTTCCATAAAAACCTCCAGTTGCCTTTTCCCTAAGACTGCTCCTCAGGCAGCTGCCTTGGCAGCTCAGTTCAGCATTGGCTGCCTAGAAGGGTGTGGGAGAAACAATGCACAAACGCACTTATGAATGGAATGTGTGTTTTGCAAGAGGCCAAGTTGGCAGCTTTGGTTTCCAAAAGGTGGGAGCATCAGCTGGAAGAACACAGTGTGCAGAAGTGTGAGGCTTGAAGGCTCAGTTCATTTCTTCAGTTCTGCAGTTGGGGCCCAGGGGGAAAGCCTCATCCATGATGAAGGAAATAGCCTTGCTGAGTTCAGAAAGCCTTAATAGCTTCTTGCAACACTTTGCAAAGTCCCCTAATGCTTGCCACTTACTGAGCACAATTCATGCTGGACTTTTGCTAATTTAATCTTCCTAACAACCATGAAGTAGGTACTACTGATTTCCCCATTTTAAACAGGGTTTCAGGAAAATAGTTCACAGTCTACTATTCTTGACATTTTCCACAAGCTAGATCTTTGAAGTCTAATAATTTTTAAAAATAAATATTTCCTCATTTTATACAGCTATGGAAATGGATTCAGAATGACCCAAATGCTCAGCAGGAGCTGAAGTTGTAACCCAGGCTTGTCCATGTCCACTAGAGGAACTGCCTTTGAGGACAGGAGCCTCAAAAGGTTGCTATCAGTTGAGCTCCACTGCTTTAGAGCTTAGCTGGAAAGGAAGCTCAAGTTGGCACAACACACATTTCCTCCTGACAGAGGGACTTTAGGAAGCAGTGTGTTGATCTCAAATCAAACTCTGGTGCTTGGTTCCACTTACAGGCCAATCTTACAGATGCTTCATTTAAGGACTGAACACTGTCCTAAGTGCCCAACCCCAAATTTTCTGAATTATTTTTTACTAAGGAAACAGGGTTTGTAGCCTTGGGTGACCTGGATCTCACTACATAGATTGACCTGACTTTCAAACTCAGATCCACCTGCCTCTGTCTCCAGAGTGTGTGCACTACCACTACCAAGCCTGCCTGGGTTTTTTTTTTTTTTTGATGTTTTTTAGAATAGAACCTTACATCAAATAATTCTGTAAAATTTTATTTGCCAGTTCCACTAATCAGAGAGAAATACTGTTAACATCTTGGCACACAACATTCCAGGCTTGGTTCCAATCCCATGCATAGCTTTGTACATTTCCCCTACGCGGCAGGAATCAAAACTATAATACTGTTCTATAGCCCTATACACACATGTACATGTATGACTATGAACTCAATTCTGAGAGCCAGGTGGAGTGGCAAATGGCTTTGATCCCAGAAGGCAGAGACAGATGGATCTCTGTGAGTTTAAGGACAGCAGGGTCTACATAGTGTTCTAGGACATAGTGAGGCCCCGTCTCAAAAAGCAAAATAATACTTATATGAGATACTAGCATCTCTGTGCCTGGACTAATAGTATTTAATTTACATTGAGCAATTCAACAATTTAAAAGCTGGGACTAGAAGGGGCACACGTGCATAGCACACTCATTCCTTTGTAATAACCTGTGGCATCTACTTTGTGCACTTTTTTGTACAAGCATCTTCAGTTCTTTGGTGGAATTGTAGGATCTGAGTGTAGAAAGCAAGGTTTTTAGCTGTGACTGACAGATTATTTCATTTTCTCTGGAGCATTTAGTATCTACCAGATTTGTAATTGTAGATCTCTGTCCCATCTTTCCAACAGTGTTACTAGTTGGTCACCTTAAAACCTAGGTGTTTTTTTTTCCCCCTGAGTTTTGAAGTTTCCAGTTTCTAAGTGGTGCCCTGGTGTGATGGGGACACCTGCTGGTGAAGGGTGATGCTGCAGCTGTATCCCCCGAAAAGGCATTTCCAAACATGGAAGTGGGTTCTAACTACAAAGATAAGTCTTCCATTATCTCTGCTCTTTCCAGATGTTTAGTTCAGCCTATCCCCCCCCCCATCTTTAACTTTATAGCAGATGCCAGAGTCAACAGTTTAGCCAGTTACTTACATAAATTTGACAGTCTGGCTGGATTTTTTTTCTCTTGGTCTTTGCAGTAAATATCATTTAATGGTAGTGATACAGCAATCAATCAGTACCTGTATAAATAAACTCAGACACAAAATACTCATTTTATCCTCCCCATGCATGCCTTAAGAGGAGGAAATGTTTTGAGTTTTAGGCATTTATTGAAATTTTGCACATGACAACATACTTTGGCTGGTATCCCAACTTTTTAACAAAGGTGTCTGCTAGATGGAAAGACTTGCCATCGTCTTGAAGGGGCCGTAGCTTAGTCACATTCTCTATATGTGAATACTTGGAAAGTGTGGGGAGATTCACACTCCCAGGCCCGGGGGGTCACTTTCCTCTTCCTCTTTTATTTTCATCAGTCCTAGGCCAGGGTGTGATGCAAAAGTGCTGCAATAAATAAAGAACGAAGACATGTTTTTATCTAAATGGCTATATGCTCCTAGGATAGAATAAGTTAAGTAGGTGTGTACAATACACCAAGAGGAAGGTTTATGGAAAGCTGCCTGCTGAAGTGGGCTCAGTGAAGAAACCTGATTCAAGTCCTAGCTCTGCTGCTTAAGAGATAGATGACACATTTCCAATAAGCCTCACTTTTTCTTAACCCTAAAACGTGCAAGTTACTATGCCACTAAGGCTTAACGAAGCACAGTAATAACCAGCACTCACTGAGCACGTTCTACATACCAAGTGTGGGCAGTTTAAAACACCTGTCCACTAACCCTTAAAAGCAGCTCAGTGATAAACGTCTTCAATCCATTTTCCAAGCAAAGAAACAGGCTCAGACATTACTTGTTTAAGTCATACTAGCAAGTAACAGCCAGGTTTCAGTAATGAAAATCTGTCCTAAGAGTCCTTAGCAACTGGGGTAGTGTCATCTGAAAAACTTTGTTACTTATTAACAATGCTTGTCATTAGAAGAGTGCTTACAATTGAGGAGTCGTTTGATACCTGAGTTCACTGCCACCTTGGGAGAATATTCATGGGACTGGATTTAAAGAGCTAAAGGAGCAAACCACAAACCGTTAACCTGCTGTCTAGCAAGTCTTTTTTTGAATGGCTCTGGAGTTTGATCATTATGGTTCAGCGTGGAGTGGTTGCACTTACTGGTTATGTGACCTTGGTAAATTGCTTAAACGGAGGCATTGCGTTTGTGCTTCTAAGGACTCTAATAATCCTGACCCAAAGTCTATGTACTTGCTTGATCACAGTACTTGCTTATTAAGGGTCTGACAGATTCCCATGTGCCAACCCAGTCCAGTGAGTATCCTGGACCCTTGCCTGCCCATACCACACTAGACTAGATAAAACATCCTGTGCACTGGCCCAGTCTTTGAGTTGCCAGGACTCTTGCCTGTTTGTGCCATCACCAACCTCATTGCCTAGCCATTCTGTGTCTTGGCCAAGTCTGGTAAGTATCCTGAACCCTCTCACCTGCCCGCCATATTCCTAATATCCTAATACTTAGGCTCAGCTTTAGGCAAACAGCTTATACTCTAGCCTAGCCTGGTGTGTGCCCAAGAACCTGACTTACCCAATTAGCCGAGCTTGCAGAACAGCCATCCATTCGAATCATCTACATCTCTTGCTTACCACTGAATTGGAATCACCCATGTTCATCCAATCCAAAATCAACACTGAGAATCTAAAGGATTAACTACTAATTATTGATACCTGATCTGAAATCAACCAAGCAACAATAAAAATCAAAACAAAACTCCCCATCAACAGAGGCAGCCTAGAATCAGACATACAACCAATGACGTCTACATGACCAAGTCATACTGCAAAACACAAATGTTGAGAGGCCAAGACATTATGTCCCTTCCAAAACTCACTAGCCCTATAGAAATGTTCTACAATAAAAACTACCTAGAGGGCTGAAGAGATGGCTCAGTGGTTAGGAGCGCTGACTGCTGTTCCAGAGGACCTGGGTTCAGTTTCCAGCACCCACGTGACAGCTTGCTGCTGCCTATTACTCAAGTTCCGGTTCCCCTCATACCCAGACATACATGCAGGCAGAACACCAAAGCACATAAAATAAAAATAAAAAAAATTAAAAAACTACCTAGATGAATCACAGGACACAATTAAAAAGAACAATCATAAACATCATCAATGAATCCAAAAGTTTAAAGAAAACAACTCAATGAACTTAGGATAAGAATAAATCCAAGAAAATATGTAACTGAATGAAATGACAAGACAGTTCAAGACCTGAAAACTGAATTCAGTAAAGAGATAGAAATAATGAAATTGCAAAACTCAATAACCCAATTAGAAAACTCAGGAAGGCCTCACCAGTAGGATGGATAGAGAGGACAGATTATTAGGACTTGAAGATAAAGTAGAGGAATTAAGGATGAAGAGAGCTCCGGCAGTTATGAGCGCTCCTTGCAGAGGATCCATGTTCAGTTTTGGTTCCCAGTACTCAACATCAGGTAGCTTACAACTGCTTATAACCACAGATCCAGGGGATCTGCTGCCCTTCTCTGGCCTCTAATGCACTCAAGCTCTGTGGCATATATATACACACACATGTATATTCATGTATATACACATAAAAATAAAAAGAATTGGACCACATTAGCAAATAATTTGAAAACTTAACAAAACTACATGAAAGATATATAAAAGAAACTGTGGGACAGCTTGAAGAGACAAAAATCTAGCCATGCATGGTGTCATATGCCTTTAATCCCAGCAGTCAGGGCTACTTAGAGAGAACCTGTCTCAAACAAACAAGCAAACAAATACGGTCAAATTATACACACAGATGAAGGAAAGGAATCCCAATGACACAGACCAGAACTTCAACAAGATCATACAAGAAAACCCCCAAATTAAAGAGACATTACTTATATTTTTGGTTGTGAGCCTAGCCTTTAACAGCTGAGCCATCTCTTCGGCCCAAAGAGACAGTACTTAAACTATCATTTGTAGTACAGCATCTCCTAAAATATCAGAATCTTGAGATATTTTTAATTTTTTGACACAGGACTTTATGTAGCCCACAGTGGCCCAAACTCCTTATGTAGCTGAGGTTGGCCTTGAACTCCTTATTCTTTTGCCTCCACCTCCCAAGTGCAGAGATTACAGGTATGCACTACTAACCCAGTTTTTATGATATGTTTAAGAAACAATACAGTTTGAGCTGGAAAGATGGCTCTATGGGTAAAGGCGTTTGAAATGAGCCTGATGACCTGAGCACATGTATGCATACCCACACACAAAAGATAATGAATAAATATAACAAAGAAAAACTTACGAAGAACAGTTCTATAATTTTCTAACTACTCCAAAAAGGCCCTTCACACACACTGCAAACACCCCACAAACGATACTATATGTTTTAGGACTAATTTTAACGTTAAGTTTTCTTAAAGTATTTATCATACTTTATGTTTTGAGAAAAAAATCACTGATTTACTGAGAATCCCTCACGAGAGAATTTTGCTTTGAGACATGTTTTCACAGTGTACCCCAGGACTAGCTTTGAACTCCTTATCTTCCTTCAATCTTCCAAATGCTGGGATTATAGGTGTGTACCACCTTTCCAGCTTAGACCTGTGATGGGTAAGTTGGCCAGTTATTAAAAATTTATATAATAGGAGCTATAACCAGACCTATACAGTCCATTTCAGTATTTATTAGGCCTGTGCCTCTGATTTTAAGGTGAGATGAGCTGCATCAGAAGGACTGCTAAATTTAAGTAACAAGTAAAATAGGAATATAACGTCTACCTTCGAGAACTGTGATAAGAACTCATGTAAATTCTCATTAGATGCCTGGGCATCACTTAACTAAAGGTCTTTTCTTAAAACAGCTGAATTCCAGGGGTCAGAATTCCAAGGACAACACATCAAGTCCTTACTTGTTGGTTCCTGGCAGCAGGATGAGGCAGAGGGTGCCCGGGCTCAGGCAGTGATAGAGCTTTTCAATCTTCCGGTTGCAGCGCCAGGCAACTATCCTTGGATGGTTCTCCTCCGCAATCTAGGACCAAAGTTATACATCACCAGTTAGTCTCCTGTTCACCTTTAGGAGTTAAAGCACTTTCTTGAGTTCTAAAGCCACAGGAAGCTCTGGGAAAAAAAAATCCCTGTCTGAAACTGCAGTCCTTTTATAGACCTCAAGTGTCTTAGGACTTCTGTGGCTGAGGGCAGCTTCTGTTGGTTCTCTCAAGTGAGTCTTCCAAAAGGGCCCTAAGCGAGGGAGTCATATCACTGATGAGGTTCCCTACCTGCCTTTGCCTCTAAGGGTATCTGTGACCTTGGATGAGTCACTGACCAGCTCTAATCTCCATCCCTCATCTGCTAAGTCTGAGACTACAGCAAAGTTTCTCAAGCTTTAAGCAGCCTTCGATCTCCACACTTACACATACACCTTCTTTATCCATGCATTCCCTTTAAAATAAGCCCACTGCTGCCTTAGTCTTGCCTAATCTCAGGTCAGATGTAAGTTTAATGGAAGTTCCTAAGCTACAAAAGTGGAAACAAAAAAGTACCTATGACAGTCAGAATTTATCTTGTGTATGTATCACACTTTGGGGAGCCCTGAACTAATTCACCTAAGACTTATCCAGCTCTCCATTCTCCCACCCTGGTCCCTCAAAGTTCCTTGCAGAACCTCCCTAAACAATAAGAATGAGATTTTTAGTGGTTATCAAAGGGGCAAAAGTATTTAAGATCTGAGAGAAGAACAAATATGGCCAGGGCTAGGAGGCTGGAGGAGTGATATAAGATGGGAGCCAGGGCAGGAAAAACAAACCAACAAAAAGCCTGAAGGATGCAGTGCCAATGAGCAAGTCTTTCCTGACTGCTCCAGAAGCAGAAGGCCAGGGTCCAGAACCAGAGACCCCAGCAGCTACCTTCCCTGCTGACCCCAAGACACACTTATTACCTGAAAGATATGCTTCTCCAAGAGAGGCGGTACTAGTCGAAGTCCTGAAGGCATTACTGGTTCAGGATATATGTCCCTGAGCCATGTCTGAAGGTGCATAGGGGTTAGGGCATGTCTGCCTTTCAACTTCCAGTCCTTGCCTTTGAGAATTTCAAGGGCTACCTGGGCACTGTCACGAGATTTGAACTCTGAAAGTAGGAAAAAATCCCAATATTTGTTATTGAGAGCCAAGACAGCAGATCAACAGATAAGCTAAGGCCTGGCTAAGGTATAGGAATAGGGTAGAATTAGAAGCTCCGCCCTGGTCTACTCCAGGAAAGCTTTTTTGGTGAACCCCTTCTTTGACCTCATGTTGCTGCCATCTCCAATCAATCTCCTTCCAGGCTACATTTAATGGTATTACTTACTCAAGAAACAATAGTTTTTTTGCTGTCTTCTTTTAACATCTTTAGGCAGGATCATGGCTTCCAGGCCAGGAAAGAGGCTGGACTGCTCCAACAGGTGTTCTTTAAAAGTTTTGCCAAATCCAGTCACATATATAGTACCTTGGTTTTCACAATCTTGCTCGAGCTCATGCACAAGGGTGTCACACTCAAGAGTGAATTCTGTCACAGGCCTGTGCACCTAACCAAGGAAAAATGATGTTAGTGGTACAAAGTCACCATTTTAACTAACTTCTGTCATGTTGGACATCAGCAAGTCAATATGCAGCTTCCTAATATGTAAGGAGGCCAATAAGTGCTTCATAGAAATGATTGTAGATTTAATTAAGAAATACATATTTTCATAAGAATCTATATTCTCCAGTTCCTTGCCTGCTGCCTCCACTGAAATCTTGTTTACTTGTACAAAAACAACTTCACAATACCACCATCTCACCCCCTTGAAAGCTTAAGGAATGGGCAGACTCAGAATAGACACTGAGGGACGAGGATACTTGATAAGGAATACAATAAAACTGTAGTCTAGCCCAGGCTGATTTTTATGAAACTGAAAGTTATTAAGTCTTGACTAAGGACATTTATTACAATGCCTCATACCTGGGCATCTCTAGGATATCCCTACATATGGACTGTGGTAAATCCTGCCTAGATGAAGGGGGCTACTTTCAGTTTTGGCCATCTTACCCTGATATAAGAACCTTCTACCAGAATGCCATTCATGGTCTCTATAGCCAGCTGAGCAGCTTCCAAGACTTCATACTGTACACGGAAGTAAGGCTGCAGAAAGACCAAGGTTTTCACCATTGTTACTTCCAACCCAGACTGCTAGGAGGGATTGAGAAAAGGACCCAAATCACAATGGATGCTTTTTAATATGCTAGGCCAGACAGGCAGTGGATTGCAGACTGTCAGTCAGCTTTAAGTAAAATCACCAAAGTTCAGGAATTGGTTTTCAGTCAGTAACTTCCATTTTTCCATTTAAAATTAAAGCTCACTGTGATGGTAATATAAGAAAAACTAGCCAATTCATCACTACCTAACTTGCTCTTCATATTTACTACAAAGCACTAAGGTCACTCATGTATGTCACAAGCAGGGACTCCCAAATGTCAACTATCTTGATTTTTAGACAGCTTTCCAGTCCACTGGGAAAGCAAAGTTCTTCCACTGGCTAGATCACATCTTAAGACTCAAAGCAGCTAAATCCCCGCAGTCACCTGAGCTGCAGAGCAGCACAGAGAAAAGTCCTCCTACAGAAAGTTTTAGGACATTATTTTGAACAAATTTTTGAAAATGACACCAAAGGCAAGTAACAAAGAGGGGGAAAAGACAAACTAGATTTCCTCAAAATTACAAAGTTTTTAGACATCAAGATTACCAAATTGTAAAAGGCAGTCCGAAAAATAGGAAAAAGTCCTACAATCCACATATCTATTAGGAGATTGAAACTTAAAAATTATAGGGTGTTCCAGTTCAGAATGATGAACAGTTATAGAGAAGGACAATCATGATCATGATACTATATCAGTAAACTTATTGTGAACTTAATGGGTTAGAAAGGTAAATTCTATATTATGTATATTATACAGAAACAAAATCAACAAAAAAAGCAAGAAGATATAAGTGGTTATAATCTTGCAACAAACTTCCCAATTCCAAGTCTATTCTCAGAGATAATCAATATCTAAATTTTTAGCTGTAGGAACGAACAACAAAAAAAGTAACTTTGGCAGTCCTTATGTTTTTACTTCATTTTCATAATTATTATTGTACCAGGATATGAATTGCCCCAGTTCTACATTCTAAAGGTAGAAAACAAAATACTGACATTTTCTCCTACTCCTTTCTTCAGCTAATTTAGTCCTCCTTCTAGAGGCCTCCATCATACTACTTACTCCATAATATCTACAGTTAACCCTTTTTTCTTACAGGAGTCTCACCATGGAGGCCTAACTGACCTGGGACTAGATCAGGGTGCCCTTGACTGTGCAGTAGGTGTGCTGTCTCTGCCTCCATGTACCACCATGCCCAGCTCCTATAGATATTATTATGCTGTTTCTAGTTTTAATTCTTGTCGTATCTTCTTTCATGCTATGCTATTGCTTCAGATGTCAACCGTAGTTATTTATCTACTTATGATATAATAATATAATGACTATAAAGATGGAAATTTACTTAAGTCCTTTGAATTATATACATTTTAACATGATATGTAAGTATTTAAATAATTAAAAATATTTTTCTTTTATTGAAATAGTTTCAAAATCATTAAGATCATTTATATAAATAAAGATTCAATACACAAAATTTACTTCAAGAGACTAGAGAATTAAAAAAGAAAAGTAGGCAGGCAGAACTCTTACACTCTCCGATGCCCCTTACAAATACACTAAATAAATCTTTCTTCAAAAACAGAAAATCAAAGCTGAGTCTAGTACATGGTGGCATACACCTGTAATCCTGGCTACTCAGAAGATGAGTCAGGAGGATTGCATATCTTACAGCACCACAGGATACACAATAAGATCCTCTCTAATACTAAAACAAAAAGGGTTAGGAATGTAGCTCAATGGTAGAGTGTTTTTCTAACATGCCTAAGACTCTAGGTTTAATCCCTAGTTATACCTTTTTTTCCTTCTGGTTTTTCGAGATAGGGTTTCTCTGTAGCTTTGAAGCCTGTCCTGGAACATGCTCTTGTAGACTGGAATGGCCTCAAACTCATAGAGATCCACCTGCCTCTGCCTCCCGAGTGCTGGGATTAAAGATGTATGCCCCCCCCAGCTCACTCTTAAAACCCTTTATAAATCAATCATCCTTTAGTGTATCCTAGCTATTGGCCTACTGTGTAGTTAAAACATATACAACTTCCTAAGACAGGGAAGTTACAGTTCTTTTGTAATTTTTAACTTATGTTTATGTGTGTGTGTGTGTGTGTGTGTGCACTCACGCGCACGCAAATGTGTCATGGCTGCCATGTAGAAATCAGTGGACACTTTGTGGAAACTGCTTATTTCCTCTACCAATGTGAGTCCCAGAAATTAATTCATGTCATCAAATTGGCAGCAAGTGCCTTTATCTGCTGAACCATCTTACTAGGTGGCTTCACTATTTTGTTTAAAAAATAGAGTTATCATTATTTTTATATTTTTTAAATTATTTTGAAAATTTATTCTTTTTAGTTATGCATATGTGTGTCTGTCTCTGTGTGTGGATATGTCCATATGCTCAGAGGCAGGGATGTCTGATTCCCCTAGGGCTAGTTGTGCGCTGCCTGATGTGGCTGCTGGAAGTTGAACTCAGGTCCTCCAGAGGAACAGTACATGCTCTTAACCATGGAGCCATCCCTCCACATACACACCCCCAACTATTCTTTTTTAAAGGATATATTTATCATTCAAAGGTGAGGTCAGCACAAAAGGTTACATTCAACTAGCAGAGATTTTGTTGTTTTTGTTTTCTTTGAGACAGGGTCTTTCTATGAACCCTGGCTGTTCTGAAACTCTCTATGGAGACCACACTGGCCTTAAACTCACAGAGATCCTCCTGCCTCTGCTTCCTGGAGTTCTGAGATTAAAAACGTGCATTACTACCCTGTCTTTAACATATTTTTGTCTGGCCTACATGATATATTTCTCTTTAAGCAAAACAAAATAAAAATTGTTAAGTACACAAGAACATAAGATCCAGAAAAAAGGATTATATATGGGCCGGCTACTGTCCTCATCAGACAGAGCTGGGGCTGATCAAGCTCATTTTACTAATTCGTTATTGGTCAGCCACACAGTTCTCACAATCATCTGATTTTTCTAAGAAAGAAAGTCAAAACCTAATATTCTCATCTTACCCTAAAAGTTTCAAGAACAAGAGTTACTGACTGGACTGGGCCCATGCTCTTAAACATCTTCTTCAGAGGCCCAATGTTACAATTTTTGATAAATGGACCAGCATAGACAGTTGACATCTCTGTCCATTTGGTCTTCATCTGTAGAAAAAAACAACAGAATGAAGCAGTGGATGTGAAAATGAACTGAAACCATAAGTCAAAGCTTGGCTTACCTTTTCAGATGTCTAAAGTCCAGAGTTGTTATAGGGCTGAAAAGATGGCTCGGTGGGTAAAAGTACTTGTTGCTATTGCAGAAGAGCATTTGATTCCCACCATCCACGTGGTGGTTCACAACCATCTGTAACTCCACGTTTCAGGGAACCTTATGCCTCATTCTGACCTCCAAGAGCACCAAGCATGCATGTGGTACACACACACACACATAAATGCAGACAAAATATTCATACACACACACACACAAATAAAATGAATAAATCCTTTAAAAAATTATCATTGAGTTAAGGTGCATGCCTTTAATCCCAGACCTCTGGGAGGCAGAGGAAGAGGGATCTCAATGAGTTTGAGTCCAGCCTAATCTCCAGAGAATTCGAGGACAGATAGGGCTACATAAAAACCCTGTCTCAAAAAATAAAAAACAAAATAAAACAAAGAGTCTGTATTCAAGGATGTCCTGCAACATTATTTATAGTAGGAAAAAATTGAAAACACAAATGCTCTCAATAATAGGTTTACCACTCAGTGGAATACTTGCTTATCTTAAAAATAAGAACAATACTTGATCATAAAGGATAAGATGCAGGGCTGGTTCAACATACGAAAATCTATCAATGTAATCCATCATATAAATAAACTGAAAGAAAAAACATATAATCATTTCATTAGATGCTGAAAAAGCATTTGACAAAATTTAACACCCCTTTATGATAAAGGTCTTGGAGAGGTTAGAGATACAAGGATCATACCTAAATACAATAAAAGCAATATACAGCAAGCCAACAGCTAAAATCAAATTAAATGGAGAGGTTTCTCAGGAAACTGGGAGTCAACCTACCTCAGAACCCAGCAATTCCACTCTTGGGAATATACCCAAGAGATGCCCTAACATACTACAAAAACATTTGTTCAGCTATGTTCATAGCAGCACTATTTGTAATAGCCAGAACCTGGAAACAACCTAGGTGCCCCTCAATAGAAGAATGGTTAAAGAAGGTGTGGAACATATACACATTGGAGTTTTACTCAGCGGTAAAAAACAATGACATCTTGTATTTTGCATGCAAATGGATGGAAATAGAAAACGCTTTATTGAGTGAGGTAACCCAGACCCAAAAAGAGGAATATGGTATGTACTCATTCATAAGTGGATTCTAGCCATAATTAAAGGACATTGAGCCTATAATTAGTGATTCTAGAGAAGCTAAATAAGAAGGTGAACCCAAAAAAAAATCATATAGTTATCCTCCTGGATATTGGAAGTAGACAAGATTGCCAGACAAAACTTGGGTGCATGGAGGTGTGTGTGTGTGGGGGGGTAGATGTAAGGGGAGATGGGTAGAGAGAAGGGAGAAGGAGGATTCAGGAGAGCTTGGGGTAATGGGATGGGTGGGATGGAGGAAGGGTGGATATAGGAGCAGGGAAGTAAATATCTTAATTAAGGGAGCCATTTTAGGGTTTGCAAGAGACTTGTCTCTAGAGGGGTTTCCAGGTCCAAGGAGAGGTCCCAGATTGTTCCTTGGGCAGCAGAGGAGAGGCTGCCTGAACTGGCCTTGGCCCATAACCACACTGTCTTGCATATCACCATAGAACCTTCATCTGACGATGGATGGAGATAGACAGAGACCCACACTGGAGCACTGGACTGAGCTCCCAAGGTCCAAATGAGGAGCAGAAGGAGGGAGAACATGAGCAAGGAAGTCAGGATCACGAGGGGTGTGTCCACCCACTGAGACAGTGGGACTGATCTAATGAGCGCTCACCAAGGCCAGCTGGACTGGGAGTGATGGAGCATATGATCAAAATGGACACTCTGAATGTGGCTGGCAATGAAGGCTGACTGAGAAGTCAAGGACAATGGCACTGGGTTTTTATTCTACTGCATGGACTGACTTTGTGGGAGCCTGGTTTGTTTAGATGCTCACCTTTATAGACCTGGATGGAGGGGGGAGGACCTTGGACTTCCCACGGGGCAGGGAACCCTGACTGCTCTTAAGACTAGAGAGGGAGGGGGAGGTGGGGAATGGGAGGGAAAAGGGAAGCGGGGAGGAGGTGGAAATTTTTAATAAATAAATAAAAAACCCAAATTAAATGGAGAGAAACTCAAAGCTATTCCACTAAAATCAGGAACAAGACAAGGCTGTCCACTCTCACCATATCTCTTCAACATAGTTCTTGAAGTTCTAGCAATAGCAATAAGACAACATCAGGAGATCAAGGGGATTCAAATCGGAAAGGAAGAAGTCAAACTTTTGTTATTTGCAGATGATATGACAGTGCATATAAGCAACCCCAAAAACTCTACCAAAGAACTCCTATAGCTGATAAACACCTTCAGTAATGTGGCAGGGTACAAGATCAACTCAAAAAAATCAGTAGCCCTCCTATACACAAAGGATAGAGAAGCAGAGAGGTAAATCAGAGAAACTTCACCTTTTATGATAGCCACAAATAGCATAAAGTATCTTGGGGGTAACTCTAACCAAGGAAGTGAAAGATCTATTTGACAAGAACTTTAAGGCATTGAAAAAAGAAATTGAAGAGGACACCAGAAAATGGAAGGATTTCCCATGCTCCTGGATGGGTAGAATCAACAGAGTAAAAATGGCAATTCTACCAAAGGCAATCTATAAATTCAACGCAATCCCCATCAAAATCCCAATAAAATTCTTCACAGACCCTGAGAGAAGAATAATCAACTTTATATGGAAAAACAAAAAACCCAGGATAGCCAAAACAATCCTATACAATAAAGGAACTTCTGGAGGCATTACCATCCCTGACTTCAAACTCTATTACAGAGCTACAGTAATGAAAACAGCTTGGTATTGGCATAAAAACAGAGAAGTTGACCAATGGAATCGAATAGAATACCCGGATATTAACCCACAAACCTATGAACACCTGATTTTCAACAAAGGAGCTAAAAGTGTACAGTGAGTGGAAGAAAGAAAGCATCTTCAACAAATGGTGCTGGCATAACTGGATGTCAACCTGTAGAAGAATGAAAATAGATCCATATCTATCACCATACACAAAACTCAAGTCCAAATGGATTAAAGACCTCAATATATATCCGACCACACTGAACCTGATAGAAGAGAAAGTGGGAAGCAGACTGCAACACATGGGCACAGGAGACCACTTCCTACATATAACCCCAGTAGCACAGACAATAAGAGCAACAATGAATAAATGGAACCTCCTAAAGCTGAGAAGCTTCTGTAAAGCAAAGGACACTGTCAGTAAGATAAAAAGGCATCCTACTGAATGGGAGAAGATCTTCACCAATCCCCTCATCAGACAAAGGTCTGATCTCTAAAATATATAAAGAACTCAAGAAACTAAACTTTAAAATTTTAATTAACCCAATTAAAAAATGGGGCACTGAACTGAACAGAGAATTCTCAACAGAAGAAGTCCAAATGGCCAAGAGACACTTAAGGTCATGTTCAACTTCCTTAGCAATCAGGGAAATGCAAATCAAAACAACTTTGAGATATCATTTGACACCTGTCAGAATGGCTAAAATCAAATAATAGCATTTGCTGGAGAGAATGTGGAGTAAGGGGAATACTTATCCATTGCTGGTAGGAATGCAAACTTGTGCAACCACTTTGGAAATCAGTGTGGCAGTTTCTCAGGAAATTCAGAATCAACCTACCTCAGGATCCAGCAATACCACTCTTGGGAATGTACCCAAAAGATGCTCACTCATACTATAAAAGCATTTGTTCAACAATATTCATAGCAGCATTATTTGTAATAGCCAGAACCTGGAAACAACCTAGATGCCCCTCAATGGAAGAACGGATAAAGAAAGTGTGGAATCTATACACATTAGAATACCACTCAGCAGTAAAAAACAATGACATCTTGAATTTTCCATGCAAATGCATGGAAATAGAAAACACTATCCTGAGTGAGATAACCCAGACCCAAAAAAATGAATATGGTATGTACTCACTCATTTGTGGACTCTAGCCATAAACCAAGGTCATTAAGTCCATAGTTCACAAGCCCAGAGAAGCCAAATAACAAGGTGAACCCAAAGAAAAACATATATAGATCCTCCTGGAAATTGGAAGCAAACAAGATTGCAGGACAAAAGCTGTGAACATGGGGGTGGGGACAGGAATGGGGGTGAGTTTGGGGGAAGGGGAGAGGGGGAGAGGGAAGGGAGAAGGGAAGGACTGGCAAGAGCTTGGGGGAGTGGGAGGGTGGAGATGGAAGAAGGGCAGATATAGGAGCAGCGAAGAAGATACCTACATTAAGGGATCCGTTATAGGGTTGGCAAGAGACTTGGCTCTAGAGGGGATCCCAGGTGTCCACGGGGATGTCCCCTACTAGGTCCTTGGACAGCAGAGGAGGGGGTGCCTGAACTGTCCTTGCCTCACTATCATGCTGATGATTATCTTGAATATCAGCATAGAATCTTCACCCGGAGACGGATGGAGATAGAGACAGAGATCCTCCTCAGAGCAAGGGACTGAGCTCCCAAGGTCCAGTTGAAAGGCAGAAGGAGGGAGAAGATGAGAAAGGAAGTCAGGACCGCAAGGGGTTGGTCCACCAACTGAGGCAGTGTGCCTGTTCTAATGGCAGCTCACCAAATCCAGCTGGACTGGGTCTGAATGAGCATGTTATCAAACCGGACTCTCTGATTGTGGCTGACAATGGGGGCTGACTGAGAAGCCATTGATAAAGGCACTGGGACTTGTTTTTATGGCATGTTTTGGCTTTTTGGGACCCTAGTCTATATGGATGCACAGCTCCCTAGGCCTGGATGTAGGGGGGGAGGGCCTTGGATTTCCCATAGGACAGGATTCCCGGCCCTCTCTCAAGCAGGGTGGGAGGAGGAGGGAGTGTGGGAGAGCGGGAGGGGATTGAGAGGAGGGAAGGAAGTGTAAATAATTAAATGGAAAAATAAAAATAAAAAAAAATAAGAACAATAAACTATGTCTGACACAGAAGATACATTTAAAATTAAAATAAAGGTGCAACAAGGGGCTGGGGCAATGGCTCAATGAATAAAATGCTTGCTTGAGGATCTGAGTTCAGACCCCAGCACCCACAGGAAAACATGAATGCAAATGGCACATGCCTCTAACCTCAGTGCTGGCAGTAAAGACAGTGTGGCCAAATCAGTGAGCTCCAGACTCCGTGAGACACTCTGCCTCAAATAAATAAATAAATAGATGTGATAAAAGAAGATATTTAATGATGGCCTCTGACCTTGCTCTGCCTCTGCATGCATGGGAATATACACCCACCCACCCACATACCTGTACACATATACATATACTAAAAAAACACACAAAACAAAACAAAGTTGCAAAACAGGATACTCAGTCTGATTCCTATTTTTATAAAACATGTTTTTCAAATATTAATGTATATTGAAATAATCTGGAGAAATAGATGTGAATTTAAGCAAATGTGCATTACTTTCCTTAATGAAGAGAGGTGGTCGTTATCAAACAGTTCAGCAGAATCCATCTACTTACACTTTGCTTCACCTCGTCAGCAAAGATGGGTGAAAAGGGCTCAAAAGAGAACTGCACAATGCTGAAGGGAAACAAAGGGACTTCCACTCTGGCTTCTTCAAGCACCTGAAGAGAACAAACAGCATAGACTAAATGAGTTAGGAACCTAGTACTCACTCAACTCCCTCCACGAGCCACAGTAATATAAATAGTTGCCTTTTACTTATACCCCAAAGAGGTACATAGCTGACTTCCAGATCCAAAGGAGAATGGTAACAACACACAGTCTCCTAGAAAAGTCACTAAATTACTGCTTCTTGGCCATCTGGCTAAGACCCAGCATAATATCCATCCTTTCCAGTGTGATATACTATGTCCTCTGTCCAAGAATAACATATGTAATGAGTTTCTGAAGCAGGGAGATGGAAGGGGAGCTTGTTACATCCACATCACACATCAGCCTGGAACTGGAGAACCTCGGGAACAACACAACCTTCTAGGGACATAAGACTTGGTTTCTTTCTTTCCTTTCTGACAGTGTCACAAATAGTTCATCAATGCTTAGAAAAGAATTACACAACAGAAGCAGTTTTTTCAAGGATATCAGGCTGGGTCCATATTTGAAAGTCAACATGTACTGTCATATTAACTGCATGACCGTACTCACTTATGCAGACAAAGCTTAAGGAAAATTTCAATATCAAAACTCAGAAAATCCAGGACAGAGGGAACCTCCCTAACCCAATGAATTAAAAATCTAACAACTGAGCCAGGCACTGATGGCTCACGTCTTTAATCCTGGCAACTCAATACAGGGATCTCTTGTGAGTTTGAGGACAACCTGGCCTACAGAGCGAGTTCCAGGACAGCCAGAGCTACACAGTGAAAAGGACTTGGTTTCTTTCTAAAGGTAGCTTGCAACAGGGCCTGGAGGCACAGGTTTATGATCTCAACCACATAGAGGCTGAGGATAGCAAATTTAAGACCAGGTTATGGACTGAATTCAAAGTCAGGCTGGACAACTTAGTGAGACCCTGTATCAAAATAAAAAGGGCTTGGGATATAGCATAATGGAACAGCTCTTACCATATACAAGAGTTTGGGTTTAACCCTCTAGTATCACATAAAAGCCATAAAGGTAATGCATAACATATGTGACCCATACTTTAAATATTACCAAGAGAGTGATTACCACAAACTTTCAAATCACTTGTAAGAAAATAAATTCCAACAGAGGCCCTCAACATTACACATTGTTGCAAATCAGTAAATAAAGAAAATAAAGGAGGCTTAAGAAAGTCATTAGCGATGAGGGTAGGTAGTGGGGAGGAGAATCAATGTGCCTGAAAGAATTAGATGAAGTATAAAACAGAAGCAGCCTTAGAAAGAAGTCCAACTTAATGCAAATGTCACAACTTTGATACGGCTAAAAGCCTGGCAGCCAGAAAGCAGAATGAAATATATAGAAAAAAGGGTGGTACCCTTGTTAGATGTGGCAAAAATGAAAATAAAAAGGTAAATTACAGCTCTTGCCGAGAGAGATGGCAAATGTCAACCTTTCCTAACAAGATTATAAGTTCCTCTCCTCTCCCTGACACCATAAATTAGTCTCAAACAAACCAACAACCCCCTAAGTTCCAAGTATTGGAAAGTTGAGAGTGGTGGGTATATGCCTCTAACTCCCAGTTCTTGGGAGGTAAGACATTCTAGTGAATGGCAATGGCACTGCAATACTTTGTGTTCCCATTTCTTTCTCCCTCTGAATCAACACAGACTTCATGGGAGGATAACTTCTCACTCCAGAAATTCTCTCTTGGAATGCAAATCTATGTGCCCAATATTCTGGAAAACCTGGGCGCTGCCTGAGAAACTGGCTTCTTCTCATCTGACTTGAAGAGCTGACAGGAGTACAGGACTTTCTGAGAAATCATTACAAACTGACTATTATGGCATGTTAGAGATGCAGTTCCAAAGGAAGATGTCACGAGGTATAAGAGATTCTGTGCTGTAAAAAATAGGCAGCAACAAACTACCAAGAAAATTTGAGACAGTTAAAAATGCAAAATTGCAGGTAACACAAATCCTGGAGTATTGAGATACTGCATGAAACAGTTCATAAAATCATAACTGGTTATTTTTCTTTCTTTCTTTATGTATATATAGGTGTATACAAGCTTTCATGTTATGGTACATATGTGTGCAGGTGCATGTGCACATGTGTGCATATTGGTGTGGATGCATGAGGTTGATATTAGAGTGTCTTCCTCAGTCACTTTGAAGTAAGGTATTTCACTGAACCTGGGGCTCTCAGTTTCAGCTATTCTGGCAACCCAGCATGATCCAGGCATCTTTATGTCTGCCTCTCCCCACTCCCCACTGGGCCCACCTGGCTTTTAGATGGTGTTCCTGTCATCTTTAATCTTCAATTTGACATAACCTATGGTCATGAGAGGAAAACCTCCTCTATGGGCATGTCTGAGGAATTGTCTTGTTAATTTATGTAGGAGGGCCCAGCACACTTGGATGACACCATTCCTTGGGCTGGTAGTCCTAGGATATATAAGAAAGCTAAACATCAGTTGGAGAACACCAGCAAGAAGCATTCCTCCAGGGTTTCTACTTCAGGTTCCTGCCTTGACTTCCCTCAATAATAGACTATATAACCTGTAAGCTGAAATCATCTATTCCTTCCCTAGGTTACTACTTTTGGGCATAACAACAGAACAAAACTATAATACAAGGTTCTTGGAATCTGAATGCTGGCACTTATATTTGTAGGCCAAGTGCTCTATCTGCTGAGTCAGCTCTTCAGACCAGAACTGTTTATTTTTTTAAATGTCTAAGTTTTAGTAACAAAATCACAAAGCATACAAAGATGCAGGGAAACTTAGCCTAAAAAGGCAATATAATTCCATAAACTGAATCTGGAAAAGTGTAGCTGTATGAAGACTTGTGAATGCCTGTCTTCTGAATGTCGCGATTACACCACTATGGTAGGCTCCAGGTCGCCAACAACAAGTGGAGAACTGTTTGCACTCTAGATCTGAATACACTCTCCTGTATACTGAGTCACTATCTCTAGATTACTTATATCACTGAAGAGAATATCATGCTATGTAAATATGTAAATAGCTTTTCTACTGCACTGTTAATGAACATTAAGAAAGAAAAAAGTTTGCATGTGTTCAGCCATTCTTTTCCTTATTATTTCCGATTCATGGTTGGTTGACTCCATGGATATGAAAACTGCAGACTCATAAGGCTAATTAAATGTCTAAAAATGCTTAAGGGGCTAAAAGAATTGTCATAAAGATGCTTGAACATGGATAACTAAATCATGAAAATGATACATTAGCAAATGAGAATACTAACAAAGAAATGATAAAAAAACAATATTCTGGATTGGAAAATTTTAAAAAATAGCACTGCAAAATCACATAGGAATGGATTTAATCAGGCAGATGAAAGCAGGTCATGTACAATGATTGAGTCAAAAGATAATAAAGAACAGCTGAGGTGAAGTTAAGGGATTTATGTGACATTATCAAGAAACTTATGGGATACTATTAAACAAATGCAACTGTCTAAATGTAGTATCTAAATGCTTATATCCATCCAAAAGCTGCATATATTTATAGCAGCTTTGTCTGTAAGTGCTAAAAACTTATAAATAATCAAGCTATATCTATCAGTGGGTGAATGAAGAGTATAGCATTACTCAGACACTAAAAACAGAAAACATTAAAAGCATTGAAAAGACATGGAAGAAATATTCACATTTCTAAATAAAATAAAACTATCTAAAAGGTTTCTTAATATATGATTACAACTATGTGATACTCTAGAAAAGGCAAAACTATTGAGCCAACGAAAAGATCAGTGGTTTCTAGGGAGAGAGGGAGAATGAATTAGAAAGCACACTTATCCTAAGATATTTAGGGTAGTGGAACTATATATAGTGGGACATATATGTCAACAAACATTGTCAAAATGTATAGCATATATAACACCAAAAGTGAGCACTAATGTAAATGATGGACTTTTGGGTGACTAGGATGTATCAGTATAGATATACTGATGACAACAAAATCTAGTGTAGACTGTTGATTGTGGCAGAAGTTGCACATGTAGAGGCAGAAGATAAATGGAAAATACACATTCCATGCAATTTTGCCATGGACTAAAAGTTCCCTAAAAATCAAAGTCCATTAAAAAAATAATGAGGTAAAACGAACCACACTGAACCTCATAGAAGAGAAAGTGGGAAGCACACTTGAACACATTGGCACAGGAGACTACTTCCTAAATATAACCCAAGTAGCACAGGCACTTGAGAGAAACAATTAATAAATGGGACCTTCTGAAACTGAGAAACTTCTGTAAAGCAAAGGACACAGTCAACAAGACAAAATGGCAGCCTACAGAATAAGAGAAGATCTTCACCAACCCCACATTAGACAGAGGTCTGATCTCCAAAATATACAAAGAATTCAACAAGTTGGTCATCAAAAGAACAAATAAACCAATACAAAAAAAAAATGGGGTACAGACCTAAACAGAGAACTCTCAACAGAGGACTCTAAAATCTGAAAGACACTTAAGGAAATGCTCATCATCCTTAGTCATCAGAGAAATGCAAATCAAAACAACTCTGAGATTCCATCTTACACCTGTAAGAATGGCCAAGATCAAAAACACAGATGAAAACTTATGCTGGAGAGAATGTGGGGTAAAGGGAACACTCCTGCATTGCTGGTGGGAGTGCAAGCTGGTACAGCCCCTTTGGATGTCAGTATGGTGATTTCTCAGAAAATTAGGAAACAACCTACTTCAAGACCCAGCAATATCACTTTTGGGTATATACCCAAAGGATGCTCAGTCATACCACAAGGATATGTGCTCAACTATGTTCATAGCAGCATTGTTTGTCATAGCCAGAACCTGGAAACAACCTAAATGCCCCTCGACCAAAGAATGGATAAGGAAAATGTGGTACATTTATATAATGGAGTACTTACTAAACAGCAGAAAAAAAAAATGACATCTTGAAATTTGCAGACAAATGGATGGATATAGAAAACATCATATTGAGACCAAATTCCAGAAAGACAAATATCATATGTACTCACTCATAAGTGGTTTTTAGACATAAAGCAAAGAAAACCAGCCTACAATTCACAGTTCCAGAGAACCTAGACAACAAAGAGGACCCTAAGAGAGACATACATGGATCTAATGTACATGGGAAGTAGAAAAAGACAAGATCTTTTGAGTAAACTGGGAGCATGGGGACCATGGGAGAAGGTAGGAGGGGAGGGGAGAGGAAGGGAGGAGAGCAGAAAAAAAAAAAAAACAAAACACGTAGCTCAATAAAAACAATATTTTTTTAAAAAGTCATGTGACTCCCTGGGGTGGGGGAATAATGAGGACTGGGAGATGGCTCAGTTGGTAAATCACTTTCCTAGCAAGTATAAAAATCCAGGTTCAATACCAAGAATCCACATAAAATACTAGTGGAAGTGGCTTATGCTTGAAAAGAATCCCAATGACAGTGAGATTGGAGGCAAAGGCAGGCAGAAACTTGGAAGCTCTCCAGCTAACTAGTCTAGTCTGCTTGGCAAAGCTCTTACGGCCTCTGAAATGAAAGAGTCTATCAAACAAAAGGTAGAAAGCACCTAAGGGGTAACACCTGAGGTTTTCTAGCCACACATGCATGTACACACACATGCATGCACATACCTGCAACCATGTACACACACATGGATGATGCTCACAAAACCCTTAAGGTCTATGTCAGGTGGGGGGTGATCAGAAAAAGCATGTGGGGGATAATTCTCAGGAAATTAGAAAAGGATAATAATCTCATGAACACAAGAACACTGTAATCTCTCCAGCTTGCCACCTAGAGAACATTTCCAGGCTACAGAGAAATAGGGAAATCTGCTGGCTTGAATATCACTGAGTAAAGAGCTACACATAGAACACCAGAGACCTGCAAAGAGATTTAACCCTCAAATATTCTTGATTGTATCTATGTAAGTAAACTATGTAAGGCCCACAAGGAAAAAAATCCAAAAGGAATGCAAGGGACATTTCCAAAATCTCACATAGGATGAGAAATAGTTCAGAATTATCCAAACCAGAGCACAAGATCTCATGACTCTTGTAGCATTAAGCATGAAGTTTTCTTTTACAACAGTAGTGGGGTAAAAACTGTCATGGTTCTACTTTAAAATGTTAAATACAAGAGCCAAAAGGAACAGTGTTTCCATAAAACTACCATCTTTCAAACAAAACTCACAAATATTTACAAGAACATAAAACTACATGATACCAATAAAGTAAAATTTATTGTATCTGCTATGCAAAACAAACAAAACCACCAGACATGTAAAGAGGCATGAAAACATAATTTGAAAGGATACAGATCACTGAAAACTAATCTGAAAGTTACATAGATGATCAAATATGTAAGGATGTTAAAATAGTTCTTGTAACTATATTCCAGAAGAAAGAATTGAGAGGAAAGTCTGAGTCTTTTATTAGAGGCATGGGAGATATAATAGAGCCAATTTAACTTTTAAGACTAAAGTTACAATGTCTGAAATAAAAGTATACTGGATGTGATTATTATCACATTAAATACAACAGAAGTTATGATGGAGCCTGGAGACATTAGCAATGAAAAACAGCTAAAATAAAAAAGAGGGGAAGAAAGAAACTACGAGAAAATTAGCAAGAGTGATCTATGGGACCCTCAGAATCCTAATGGGAGTCCTCAAACAAAAGTAATGAAAGATAAAACTGGAAGTAACAGTACTTTTTTCCTAATTTTATAAAAATGATAATCTAAGTGTGGGTTGTATTTTTGCTTGTTTCGTTTTTGTCAACCTAGTACAAGCTGGAGTCATCTAGAAAGAGGAAACCTCAAAGAAATGTCTGTCTAACTGGCCCATGGGCAGATCTGTGGGGCACCTCCTGGATTGGCGATAGGTGTTGGAGAGCTTCGGCCCTGTGAGCACTGCTATTCAAGCTGAGGAAGCCACAAGGAGCAAACCAGTAAGTCAGCAGTGCTCCTCCATGGCCTCTGCTTACTCCTGCCTCCAGGTTCCCTGGTTTACCACAGTGACGGACTGTGACACAGAAGTGTAAGATCAAATAAATCTTCTGCTCCCTAAGTTGTTTTGGGTCATGGTATTTATCACAGAAACAGAAAGAAAACTAGGGCACTAAGGTAGAAAATCTCATGGAATCTAAAAGACATGTAACAAGACCTTTAAAATATCAGAGGAAAACAAATGTCAACCAAAGTATCTTCCAAATTTGAAAGCTAAAAAAAAATTACTAAGTATGCAAAAGCTGTTAAGAATTTAGTATCTACAGACTCTTTACTGCTCATATTAAAATTTGGATTTATATAAAGGAATAAATACCACAAGATGTGATAATCATGTGGTAAATATACCTATTATGTCTTCTTACTAAAATCTAGTTTTATTTTTTTATGTGAATGAATGCTTACCTACATGTATGTATGTGCACGACATTATGTTTCTAGTGCTGGTGGAGGCCAGAAGAGGGTGTCAGATTCTCTGGAACTAGAGTTATAAATGGCTGTGAACTGCCATGTGGGTGCTTGGAACTGAAACAAGATCCTCTGTAAAAGCAGCCAGTCTACTTATACACGGAACCTTGTTCCACTCCCTAAAATCTCTTCAAATAATCCATAGCCAAAGCAAAATTATTAACAATTAGACTAGATTCTATAATGCATACAGAAGTAAGATGTGATGAAAACAATAGCGCTATGGTTAGGAGGAAAGAAATGTAAGTATATGGTTGTAAGGCTCTTACACATGAAGAGGTGTGCTATTATAGAAAGTAAATTATAGTAAGTAACTACTATGATATGTATCTATAAATCCTAACACCACTAAAATATACAGCTTAGAATTATCTTTTTCCAGACTTTACAGCTGATAAGATATCTCTATTGGTGTAATAGTGACATTTTTATTCTGAGGGTAATCAACAGATGTCTAAACTGGATTTAGGGCCCATTCAGTAGGAGAGAATTCACCTCTGGGGCCACAAACCTAGCCACTTGCCCATGGTTAGTGAGATCATGAATCCTAGAAGAGGACCTATTACTGCCACTTTCCTAAACCAGTATACTTTCTAACTGCAGACTGAACACTTACTCTCCTAACCCCAGGTTAGTGCAGCTGCTTCTATACCACCAGGTGAAGGCTATTACACAAATCCACAGCTGATCAGAAAGCAGAGAAAAATTGACTGTGGAGTCCCAGCCCCAGTTCAAACATCTCCAACACAACCCTTATACCCAAGGTTCAGGAGAGGGAACAGAAAACCTGTAAGAACAAAACACCGGGATGCCTGTTGTAAGACAGCATCTTACATGATCGAAAAGCTCTATCTATGAACTCTCATCAATACGCTTGCCTAAACAGTATCTGCATATGGACAACACCAGCTGACATGCCAGCCTGGATAGGGGAAACCCGGGAGAAGCAGAATCAGTCTTTATAGATAAGCTCCCTGATAGGTTATCCAACCCCAACTGGTCAAGCCCTAAACACTTATGAACAACACTAAATAGAAGGGAGATACACACACACACACACACACACACACACACACACACACACACACGGACACGGACACACATAAATTTGTGTATATATAAAATGATAATATTAAATAAGGGGATATTAATTTGATGTGGCAGTTGGAGGAGGTAGAGGAAAGGATGGAAATATAGTATTCACACATGAAATTCTCTTAAGGAATTTTAAATTAACAAAGAGCAATTGTAGGGCAAAATGGTGACTTAATTGTTACCCTGTTCCTCCAAAGGCCCTAGGTTCAATTCCCAGCTCTCATATGGGAACTCACAATTGCCTGTAACTCTAGTATCTCAGGATCTGATACCTTTTTCTGGGCTCCATAGGTACTAGGCATGGGCTCAGAGGCAAAATACCCATATATATCCCAAGAAAAAAGTAATATAGCTAATAAATTGTCAAATAAGAGAACATTTCCAGGACTCAGGAAAGTAAACAGCTTGCTGAGCAAGCACAAAGACCTGAGTTGGGCTACACATAAATAAAAAGTCAGAAATGGCAGCATATTTATAATCCCAGTGCTGAATGAGTAGGGAAGAAAAATAAATACTGGAGCTCATATTACATACACACAGAACAATGACAGATAAAATATAAAAAAATATAGCCAGGCTCCAAAATAAACATCTCCATATACCAGAAACAGGAGTTCTAAGTGGCACGCAAAGCCAAGCCCACTGATCTTTGAAAGCAGACACTGACAGCTAACAGCTCTGCTCCTATGAAGTAACAGACTTAAACGTGCTCCATAAGATTGAGGCAGAAGCCAGACTTGCTCATGTTAGCCAGGGTTACTGGTGTAAATTCTTGGCATTCCCAGGGGTTATACAAAGTGTTACACTTACTACAAAGATATGATAGGTCATTCACCTCTTTATTTGAAGAACACTTAATAGTTAGACAGTTTCTAGACGAAGAAAGTTCATCTATATCCCGAGTCAAGAAAAGGAGTTTCTGACCCATCGAGTCCAGGCATTCTAAAACACTGTAAAGAATTAAAGAGATTAAAATAAAAATAGTCATTTTTAGGTTATGACTTGCTAGTTAAATTTTGTGCCTATAATGCTTGTCAATATGGTACTCAGTAGCAATATTTAGCTATACAAATTTAATTAAAATTAAAATCCCAGTTAATCAACTGCATTAGTCATATGTGATCAGTGGTTTTCATATTCTCCAGAATATTTCATCATTGCAGAAAATCAAATTAGATGGTGTTACTCTAAGAAGAGGGAAAATAAATAAGAAATATACCTGAAGCTATCAATCAAGATTGAAGTCACAATCTAAGGATCTGACACACTCATCATGGTCTGAAATCAAACTGTTTCTGACTGTGGATGTGTGTGTTTCTCCAATCTGCTTTAAAGGCTACAAGCTGAGTTTTCTAACTTAAAAATATCAACAAGACTAGCATTCTCTTCTTTCCCTACCACCCCAAGATAGGGTCTCTCAGCATAGCCCTGGCTATCCCGGAACTCTCTTTGTAGAACAGACTGATCTCAAACTCACAGAGAACCATCTGCCTTTGCCTCCTGAGTTCTGGGATTAAAAGCTCTATCTTCACTTGTAATAATCCTTAGTTCAATTATTTCTGCTTTTTTTTTTAAAAAAAAAATCATTTTAGACATTGGTCATAGTCAGAAAACTAGTAAGTACATCCTTAATTTTCCTTTGCTCTTATTTGAAATGGAAAACATTACCTCATATTTGGGGGCTTAGTAGGTCCTCCCTTCTTTTCTGGTCCTTGACTGGCTGCTTTCAGTTCTTCACGGCTAGCTAGTGCCTCCAAATTGAGCTCTGCAATCTATAAGAAAATAAAGTGGTAAAAATCATTTAAGTTTCTGTACAGAATTTGAGGCGGAAAAAAAAATCACTTAAGTGATATTCTCTGCTTCTCTAGAATCATGGCTGTGTCACTGCCTCAGGCACACGCTGGCTTCAATAGTATCAAATGGTTTTATGACTGCTGAGCCAAGAGCAACAACCTGTCACCAGGTACTAATGTTACATGAAGATGGTTTAAAAGAGCCAAGTGAGGCTGAGTGAAAATTGATGGCAATTTTGGCTCATCATTCCTTACTTAGTCTCTTAAAATGTATTTCTCTGAAAACATATAACTTTTAGAAATGAAAAACAATAACTTTTATTGTAACATCAAAAAAGTCAGTATATTAATACAAAACAATACAAAATTAGACTATCAAAAGTATAATTGATATTTATTTTTGTTCATAAAGTGGGAATCCACTTGGAAAGTAAGATAAAATAACTATTTAAAAGTAACATTTGTGTCAGGTCAGGTGGTGATGCATGCCTTTAATCCCAGGACTCAGGTGGCAGAGAGAGGCAGATCTCTGTGAGCTTACACCAGCCTGGTCTACAGAGCGAGTTCCAGGACAGGCTCCAAAGCTACACAGAGAAATCCTGTCTCGAAAAACAACAACAACAAAAATAAAAATTGGAGTTCAACGGATGGCTCAGTGGTTAAGAGCACGTGCTGCTCTTACAGAGAACCTGGGTTCAGTTCCTAGCACCCACATGGTGGTTCACAACCATCTCCACGTTTAGGGATCCCATTCCCCTCTTCTGGCCTACACCAGTACCAGGCATGCACATGGTGCACAGACATTCACACAGGCAAAAACATAAAATAAACATAAAATACATAAATCTAAATGACAAAACAAACCATTTTTTGTTTGTCCCACAGAGGAGCCACTGTTGAGCTCTTCTAAGAGAACATATGTGTTAATATAGTCTGTTAAAAAATCACAACTATTCTTAAAGAGTGAAGGAGGTACAATTCAGTCAGGCGCCCAAAGAGGAACTGGCACACTGAGAGGCAGAGGCAGGTTTTGTTTGTTTGTTTGTTTCTGTTTTTTTGAGACAGGCTTTTTCTGTAGCTTTGGAGCCTGTAGGTCAGGCTGGCCTTGAACTCACAGAGATCTGCCTGCCTTGGCAGATGCAGTTTTATAATAACCAGTTAGCAGGTCATGATTGATGGCTCCAGGAAGAATTTATCCTGATGTCAATTGTAGAAACAAGTAATGAGAATACTGGGCAGCAGGGAAGAGATGGCAAAGGCTGAACCTAGTTTTCATAAACCCATCAGCATAGGTCAGTGCCTCAGCAACCCCCAGACAGCTCCAGAAGGGTGAGGGGTCTAAAACTCAAGATCTCTACAACACTCAAAATTCCCCACCTCTGCTATTATCCAATAGATCAGGGGACCCATCAAGACCTTAGGGAGAGCACAGCGCATAACTTGGAACAAGGTGCAGCATCTGGATCAGAGCAACAGAGCCCAGGCTGCAGACTGTGGAGAAGCACAGTGGTGCAGTGAGTCTGAAGCTGAGAGACTCTCAGTATCCTCCACCCTGGACAAAGTAGTAAGGAACTATATCCATCAGGGGAATCTTGTGACAGCACTTCATACAGTGTCCTCACAGACAGCTAAGACTCCAAGCAGCACACTGGACAGTGGAAGGATTATATAGGGGTGGAATCAATCGTAAGCCACAAGCCCAACATTGAAGGAACACGCAGAGGTATTCCTAGCATTTGCAATTCCACTTCTGAAGTACTGCCTGCAGACAGAACCAGTCCTGTAATTCAATCATTTAAAGAAAGACTCAGAGGAGAATAGGACCTCCTATCACAGAGGAACTGGCACAGGTGGCATAGGTTTCTGAGAGCCAAGAGATGTGACGCAAAATTGAACCCCGGCCATCAGAGTTCTCATATTCTATATCCCCATTTGACTCTCTCCCGGCATGTTCATCCCACCCTTATTTAATACTCAGTATCAATTTGGCATGACAGTCACGTCCTGCTTAGTTTTCTCTTCTACTGCTTATTTTCCCCCTTCTTTGCTCTTTCCCTTTTCACTTTCCTCGCCTAAGGAGCTGAGCTGGTCTGCAGGGTCTGTCTGGTGCAGCCTCCAAAGAGATGCGGTTTTAGTATCATCTGATTACTTATCTTACCTTTTTTTTACAGTTTACCTTCAACCAAAACTCTGTCCCCACATTTTTGTCCCTACAGGTCCTTTTATCCTAGCACTTGGAAGGAAGAGGTAGTACGATCACCATAAATTTGAAGCCAGTCTGGGCCATATCTACATAGTAAGTTACAGACCTCCTGGGTGTACAGTAAGACAGTGCCTCAAAAAACCACCAACAAAATAATTTCACAAAGCCATTCTGAAACTGTCCTTTTCAAATCTATATCCACTGAACTACTGCTCAAACAATGGAATGTGCACCTATTCCTAGAGAGCAAACTAATTAGCATAAACAATATCGTCACCAGCTTTATATTTAGTTAATTGCCCTCAATACTATTCCAGCAAACTACATATTTCCATTTTACAGATTTAGAAACAAGTTATTCAGAGCAACTGCCAGTTGATATAACTAGAAAATCTATAGCCTACACTTAAAAATAGATAAAAACCAACTTCAGAGACTTTATTATTCACTTAGTCAATATGTTAGTGATATGGGTCTTAATTTTAACCTTAACCACATTGCGAGTTTTGTACAGAAAGGTAGGAACAGAAATAATGATCTATGGATGTCTGATCCAGTCTCATAATATTAAGAAAGCCAAAGGGACTGGTCAAAGATACTAACCTTCTTTGGCCCATACTTAAGAAAATACCGAACTAATTCAAGAGTTGTTCTAGCATCTTCTATGGTATCATGACCAAGCTTGTCTGGACACTGTATATCCTTCCTAGAAATGAAGATGAAATGTATATATCTGGGAATATTTTTAATGATATTTCTTTTAACCACAGTATAAAAGTTTCGCCATTGTAACACTCAGATATGTACTACAACCATCAAGATTCCTTTTCCCTGCTCAACTGCCAGGCCTCAAGAGAGGTGCTGCACATCCAAAAACATGGGATGGCTTTGATCACAGAAGTATACCACAGGAATCAAAGATTAGCCAAGATCAGGCCCACTCTTAGCTATATCAGTTAAAAGTTTCCTTCCAGAAGATTTTTATTCATATGAAAATATCTATACATTTAAATAATTTTCTTGGTTGTTTATGAAAAATCTTAAATACACATATATTTATGTTGACCAATATCTATATATAGATCCTACTCAACAACTCTATTTTATTCTAAGTAATATCTTAGGGTTTTCCATATTAGCATACACAGATTTATCATATTCCTTTGAATAATAAATAACCATAACTTAATCAGTCCTCTACAATTTTCTTCTTTCCATTTTGAATCATGTTATAATGAACATGCACTTATATGCTTCAAAATTATAAGACATATTCAATTTAAGTATGCTACACTTTGAAATTCCATGGTACTAGGGGCTGAATATAGGGTCTTACAAATGATATGTAAATGTTCTGTCACAACTTCCTTTAAAAATTTTTTTAAATTACATTTATGTGTGAGGAGTGTACAATGTGCATATGTACGTGTGTGCGTGCGCGCTTGCGTGTGTGTGTGCGTGTGTGCGTGTGTGTGTGTGTGTGTGTGTGTGTGTATGTGTGTGTGGTTGGGCAGAGGACAACTTATAGGAGTTAGTTCTCCCAGGGATAAAACATAGGTCATAAGGCTTGTTCCCTATTGAGTCATCTTGCCACCAAAACACATTTGTTTTTAAACTTTTCATAATTGGAGAAGGTCTCACTAAATTGCTCAAGATAACCTTAAAATCACTTTAGAAACTAGGAAGTTCTTGAACTTGAGAATCTCCTACCTCCATCTTCAAAATAGCTGAGATTACATGCCTACCCTGTGAGGTTCAACTGTATTCCTTAATTTCTTTACTTCATAAGAATTAGAGGGAGTAGTGTTTATAAATTGAGAGAGACAACCAAGACTGGGTTGGATAACACATATTAATTTATGTACAATATACCAGGACAACATCAAAACATGTATAAACCTACCCCAAAATAACTTTGGCTAAGAATCTTAGCTTAAATCTTCTGCTCTGCTTCCCGATATAAAGCAGCGAGGTATCAATAACATATGGGTGTATCATCTGAGGAGGAAAAAGAATGAATAAATAGCACCTTATGCTAAAGAAAAAAACAGGGAAGAGGCTTGGGAGTTAAGAGTCCAAGTCTTTACATCTTAGATAAATGGAATACACTTTTCTGTTAGAGAATAAAATCTTAAAGCAGATACACACTTTTATTACTCTGAGATCCAAGTCTAGGAAATGGCCCACTAACACAGCGTCAGGAGGAAGCAGCTGTCTTAAGAGCTCCTGTACATCTTTGAGTTTGGTTGGCACTGGGTTAAGAATCTTCTCCGTGATTCCTGAAAAACTTTTAATAAAGAGAGAAATAGAGAGACTAAAATATCAGCTTTTCTCCAAAGACACGTTTTGAAAAATTATACTTTATACCTATTACAGAAAAAAAGCTGAAGATCCAAATAAGCAGAGAAGTAAAAAAAAAAAAAAAATCAATCATAAACTTCTATAGGAGAACATGGGCAGTACTGTATATGATATAGATATAAGAAAGAACTTCCTGAAGATGGCTTCATTTGCCTAAGAACTAAGATTAACAGCTGACAAACAGGACATTATAAAACTAAGAAACTCCTGCAGAGCCAAAGAAGCAATCAACCGGGTGAAGAAGAAGTCCTACAGAATGAATAAGAGAGAGTCTTTGCCAGCTATACATCTAGCAAAGGTTTAATATCCAAAATATATAAAGAACTCAAAAAAAAAACAAAGAGTAAAATACTAAACCAAACCAAACCAACCAACAAAACTATGACCCATTTAGAAAAAAATTGGCCTAGGACCTGAATAGAGAGTTCTCAAAAGAAAAATTGTTAGTTCATCTGTCCTAGCAATTAGGAAAATAAAATCAAAATAAGTTTGAGATTTTATCTTACACCAGGCAGAATAGCAAATACCAACAATGGACAACAAATACTGGAGGAGATGTGGGAAAAGGAAGCTTCATTCACTGTTGATGGTAAGCTTCATTCACTGTTGATGGGGTTGCAAACAGTGGAAACCAGTGTGGAGAATTCTCAAAAAGCTAGAAATCAATCTACCATATGACCCAGTTATACCTCTTCTTGGAATATACCCAAAGAACTTGACATCCTACTCCACTAATACTTGCTTAGCCATGTTCACTGCTGCTGTCTTTACAGTTGCTAGAAAATAGAAACAACCTACATGTCCTTCTACTGACAAATAGATAATGAAAATGTGGTACACATTCACTATGGAATACTACTCAGCTGTAAAGAAAAACAAAATCATGAACTCTACAGATAAGTGGAATGACCTAGAAAATATCATATTAAGTGAGATTCCCCAGACTCAGAAAGACAATCACTCCAGTCTCTCTTATTGAAAGCTCCTAGCCCCAAATCTTTAGATATGAGTACATACCCTGTAGTAACTGCAGAAACCAGGAGAGTAAAACAAGACCACTGTCAGTACAAAGGGGAATAGCAGGGTGCAAGTATCTGATCAGGGTAATAAAAGGCATGGGACTCCTTAAAGAAGGGAAGGAGGTGAATATAGAAACGGATGGGAAGAGGGTAAAGAGGATGTAAGTGATCTGATAAGGGAAATAGGGAAAGGAAGGGCTCCTTAGGGATGCGAAGGAAGGTAAAATAATAATATGGACAGCTGAAAAGGTCACAAGGAACCAACCTATTAATTATTTACCTAAAAAACAATCAAACCAACCAACTTATAATGAACAAAATTCATTGTATAAATATAACTTTTCTCATTTGGCCTGAAGGTGCTCTCTCCAACACCTAACAAAACACCCAATGCTAGACATGAGAAGCCCTCTTTTAAGTTGTTAGCCAAGGCTGTCTAAGAGACTCCCATAACATACAGCCTACTGCTTTTGCCCTTGGTTACTCCCTGCGATAGAAAGTAAGTCCCTATGGCTGAAGACACCATGCACTTCAGAAACAGGGCCCAGAAGCCCCTGAGCTGGAACTGATCTGAATCCCCCTCCCTGAGGACTAGACTTCATGGTACCAGAAGGTGCATGCAAGCTTCCAAAGGAGAAAGGCAACCAACCGTCCTACCGAGCTATGGTGCATGTGGATCATATCAACAAGCAGCATAGCAGGATAGCCCTATGGATGCAGTAGTGCCGCACAGACTGTGGCGGCAATCAGTTCCTCTCTAATTGGACTTAAGACCCACTCAACAAGAGGGATATCATGCCTGGTACTAGAAACCTAGCTACAGTGATGTCACGGTTATTAGGGGAGAATCTACAACCACTAATTTACTAAACTAGCATAATCCCTAACAACAATGTATAAATATTTGTCCTTATACCCACAGAGAAGTATAATTTTCACCCCTAATCAAGGAAACTTCTCTTTGAAACAGACAGAGATCACTACAGAAAACCACAACCAGTCAAAATGCAGAGTTGTGGAGTCCAATCCCAATGAATATATCAACAGAACACTCCCACATCTAAGGCTCAGGAAACATGTGGAGGGCGAGGGGCAAAAAGATGGTAAGAGCTGATCAGGGACTTTGCTGTGAGAATGCATCTCTGAGTGATGTCAGAAGCTACACCCACAAAAGTTTCACCAACGTGACTGCCCAAACGTGAGTTTAACAAGAAGGCACCAATGAACAGCCAAACTGCATGGGGAAAAGACCATGAGGCCTCAACCCTACATAAAAGACAAAGGAGGAAAGCTGGGGATGTGCTGTGGAAGAATCTTTGTACACTGTAAAAACATGTACTGCTCTCATTGGTAATAAAAAGCTGATTGGTCACTAGCTAGGTAGGATTTTCAGGGACAAGGAGACCACTAGGAAGAAGAAGGGCAGAGTCAGAGGAGTTGCTAGCCAGACATGGAGAGAAAACAGGAGGTTGAAATCAAAAGAGATAATGTGGCAGAATATAGATTAATAAAAATGGGTTAATATAAGTTGTAAGAGCTAGCTGGAAACTAGCCTAAATTATTGCTTAAGCACTTAAATTAAGTCTCTTGCAGTTATTTGGGAATGACTGCAGAGACACAGAAAATTCTGCCTACAGGAGTGTAAGAAGTGGCCCTGTTCAGGGAAAAGCTAATGAATTGGTTGTCTAGTGACAAACAGACAACCCTGAAAAAATACTTACAAGTAACATAGACTCAACAGGTTATATTAGAGAATTTGTATGTATAAACAAATACATATATGCATGCATCAGTAACAACTGATGCAGAAGAGAGGCCAAGAATTTGAAGAGCAGAGAGGGAGGGAAGGGAGAAATGTTGGAATTAAAAAACTATCTCAAAAACAAACACCAATAATGATGATGATGATAATAATAATAATAATGATAATAATGAGCCATAATTTCATTATCCAAAGATTATATTTTTCCATTTTAGTAAATATCCTTCCACTTTTTTGGTATATATATGTTTATAGATATATTTCACATGTTCTGTTTTGTGATTACATTTGAATGTCAATAAATGAATTTAATTATATTCTTTTAAATGGTAAGAGTATTCTACTTTGCAGTTGTTTAAAAACATTCTCTAACTTGACATTTGCATCGTCTTTTTAAAACACATATATATTCTCACCTTTTTACAATACTGTGACAAAATTGTTTTATATATCTTTTTGCTGCATATGACTATTTTCTAGAAATACTATTTAATTATCAGCTCTCTAGTAGAACAGCCTATATCTTTAATATGGTCTCTCTAGCTCTCTATGCCTATGTAAACATGAATGCATGGGTACAACTTCAGTCACCAAAAATAATGTTTCACTGTTTTTTACTTTGTCCAATCACCATGTACTTCTGAAGTTTTATGATAATCTTTGGAAATATAAACATTATTAAGACTAAAATTAGCCAAGTATAGTGGTACATAACTTTAACCCTAGCACTTGGGAGGAAGAGACAGGCAGATTTCTGTGTGTTCAAGGCCAGCCTGGTCTATAGAGTGAGCTCCAGGACAGCCAGGGCTACACAGAGAAACCATCTCGAAAAACAAAAAACAACAACAACAATGAAAAGAATACCTAGTAAAGGAGTCTAGAATCTTGAAGTCAGGTTTGACCAGTTCATCCACAATACAATGGCCTCCTTCAGCAACCAGTGAGATGCGTGTTAGTTCTCTCCCCTTGGATGTAAGGCACTAGAAGACAAAACACTGCTAAACTGCAGAAGCTGTTGCTCCCCCTTAATATGTCCATTGTATCAGCAACCACCCACACTCAGCTACCACGATTCCTGCCAGCATGGCAAAGATGCTTGCTTATGAAAGGATCCAGAATGAATGAAACTGAAGTTGGTATTTGCTGAATACCATGTTTACTGGAAGTAATGGCAATACTTGTTCTGAAAAATGGTGAATGGCTAGGGAGGGTAAGGCAAGATCAAAAATTCAAAAAGTCAACTATACAAGGAGATCTTGTTTTTCCTATTTTCGAATGAAGATAATAGCACCAACATAATTGTATCTATGATCGACAGACTATGTATTACCCATCACTATGGCTAAGAACCACCACTTTTACTAAGCACACTCTAAACATATAGCATAGCCTTAATTTCTACCCACTTCATAGAAGAAGAAACTAAGGCAGAGAGGGGTTGGGGACAGTCATTAACAGGTAAGACCAGTATACAAACTAACAAGAATCAAAACTATTTGCAAGGACTGCAGGGAAAGGATGTACTTGTCTTTGGAAGAATTACTAAATTAGCAGAGAAATCCTATTTCTAATCTTCAATGTGCAAAACCTAAGACCATAGTATTTAAGGCAGAGTCTTCATGGCAGTCAAAGAATAGAATACTTGTTCAAAAACAACCAATTTTTTTCTGGTGTTAAAAACATGATTAAGCACAGAAACTACTTAGAAAACTTAAAACTAATCTTTCATTTGTAATATAGATCCAAGTTTTTTTTTTTTTAAAGGGGGCCACTTTCAGCTATTTAAACTAAAAATCAAAAGGCATGGGTTTACTGGTGCATTGAATTCATGAAATCATCTTACACTATAGTTTGCAACATGCTCTGAAAAATCAAAGCATTACTTACCATTTCACAATTAAGTCCAAAGAGTGGACTGTTATCTGTTATGGAAGCATTAAACTTGGTAAGGATAAAGTTTTCACAATTAGGAGAACCTAGGAGAAAAGAAAGTAAATATTCATTGGAACTACATGTTTTTGTTTGTTTGGTTGTTATTTTTTTTTTCAGGGCAGGGGAGCAGGTTCGAGACAGGGTCTCTCTGTGTCAATAGTTCTGGCTGTCCTGTCCTAGAACTCACTTTGTAGATCAGCCTAGCCTCAAACTCACAGAGTTCTGCTTGCCTCTGCCTTCTGAGTACTGGAATTAAAGGTGTGCACCAACACATCCAGCTTACTGGAGCTATTTATTGGACATAATAAACACCACTCTGAAGATCCAGGGGAACTCAAATAACATATTTACTGGGAACTTTCTTTGTGTTACTTGAATTATTATTAACTAAACAAGAAGCAACCTCTCTGGTTAAGTTTTTCTCCATCCATTGTTACATTTTGAATGAATATTATAGGCTGTTGTTTTAGGGGGTCTGGGGCCTGGACTTCCTGGTCATTACCAAGCAAACATTCTTTCTTCTTATGAGAAAGAATTTAACCCAAATTATTGGACACTTCCCATGTAGGTACTAGGAGAGAAAGAACAACATATCCAAATGACTCCATGTGGCGTTTGTCTTTTCTAAATAAAGCAAGTGAAAATAGGACGGAGATTTATTCACCATAGTGGACATCTAAAGACTGTGCAGTAGGCAGAAAGTTGGAGTAACTTTCACTGTGTGGACTTAAACCCAACTCTATCAGTGAGGTTTCCCTGAAATCACTATTCAGAAATGTTCTTCAATTTCTTGCAATCATAACCTGAAAATTCCCTCTAGAGGTTCAGTGCAGGTTCAGGGAATTCTTTCCATTATATACACTAAGCTAACAACCAGGCATACACAGCTCAGGGAGCCAAAACATTTGAATCATTATAGGTGTCTACCAGCACACAGTTACTGAAGCAGCAAAAGTAGTATGTAGATTTTATTTGACAAGAATTAAAGAAGAGTATTAAATCTTTGGATCAGTTTTTGCCTCTTGGTACCCAGAAATTTTCATTTGAGGGAGATTAAAAGTATTAAAATGTATGTTCCAGAAGTTCTATAGGCAGTTAATCGTTGCTAGGGAGAGACATTTTCTTTAGTGCTGTAGCCACTAGTAATGTTCTTTCTTAAAAATTTTACTGAAAATAAATTCCTTTCTCATACAATATATCCTGACTATAATTTCCCCTCCCTGCAGTCCTCCAAATTCCTCTCCACATCTCTTCTCTCTCTAGACCCACTTTCTTTCTATCTCTCTTTAGAAAAGAACAAGTTTCTAAGAGGTAACAACCAAATCTGATGAAATAAAATGTAGTAAGATGAAGGAAAAGCTATTTGAAGCTAGACACAACAACCCAACAGGACGAAAAGAGTCCAAAAGGCAGGCCTAAAAATCAGCGCACACTTACACACACACATAGGATCTGGTATAGGCCTTGTGTTTGCTGCTTCAGTTTCTGTGAACCCATATTTGCCTTGCTTAGTTGATTTAGTAGAAGGCCTTGTTCTCCTAGTGTATTCCACTCCCTCTGTCTCTGCTCCTGTGGGGTTCCCTGAGCTCTGAGGGGAGGAATTTGATGGGAGTCCTCTAATCTAGACTCTCTGCATAATGTCTGGCTGTGGGTCTCTGCATCTGTTCCCAGCTGCTGCTATTGGAAGCCTCTCTGATGATGACTGGATAAGGCACTGATCTATGAGTACAGCAGAATATCATTAGGAATCATTTTATTGATTATTTTTTTAATCCAGTAGTGTTTAGTTTTACCTTAGGTTTCTGGGCCATCTAGTCTTAGGACTTCTCTCTGAGCTATCTAGTCTCTGGTTCTTGGTCACTCAAGCAGTGTCAAGGATGACTTCCTTCTTGTGGAATGACCAAATCAGACATTGGTTGGCTACTCCCACAAGTTCTGTGCCAACATTGGCCTAGCAGCCTATTTTGTAGGCGGTACAGATTGTAAGTCAAAGGTTTCATGGCTGGGTGTACGTTTCTCTTTCAGCAGCCTGCAAAGTATCGTCCTGCACCACAGAGACTAGAATGTAGGAGTGAGGGCTCCATAAAGGAACCAGTCAATTTCTCCAAGTTTCAATTAGTTGTGTAGGTGTTGTAGGGGCCCCATTGTCAGTTTGTGGAGAGCAACCTTTTGTCTTGGCATATACTCTTCAGTTGTTTGTGGGATTTCCATGAGACCTCCTTGGTCAACAACTCAATTTCATGTAACCTAGTCCAGCCACTGGAAGCCTCACCTGGCTACAAGAGATGGACAATTGAGATTCTGTATCCCCCCCACTAGTAGGGCTCACCTTCATAGATTCTAGGAAGTTTCGATAGCACCAGATTTCCACACCACCCTCAGATGCCCCCCAATTCCAGCCACCTGTTTCCACACTCTTTCTCCACTCCATTTTCCCCCACTTTACTCCCCTACTCCTATCCCCACCTATCCCCAGTCCACCCATAAAATCTATTCCTCCCTCCTAGGGAGACCCATGCACACACACCCTCTAGATCCCTCCTCAGTTGTGAGATACCATGTAGATGCTAGAAATCAAACCTAGGTCCTCTGGAAGAGATGTCAGTGTTCTTTTTTTTTTTTTTAAATTGAGCTCTACATTTTTCTCTGCTCCCCTCCCTGCCTCTCCCTTTCAACCCTCCCACAAGGTCCCCAAGCTCCCAATTTACTCAGAGATCTTGTCTTTTTCTACTTCCCATGTAGATTAGATCTATGTAAGTCTCTCTTAGTGTCCTCATTGTTGTCTAAGTTCTCTGGGATTGTGGTTTGTAGGCTGATTTTCTTTGCTTTATGTTTAAAAACCACCTATGAGCAAGTATATGTGATAATTGTCTTTCTCTGTCTGGGTTACCTCACTCAAAATAATGTTTTCTAGCTCCATCCATTTTCTTGCAAAATTCAAGATGTCATTATTTTTTCTGCTGTGTAGTACTCCACTGTGTAAATGTACCACATTTTCCTTATCCATTCTTCGGTCAAGGGGCATTTAGGTTGTTTCCAGGTTCTGGCTATGACAAACAATGCTGCTATGAACATAGTTGAGCACATATCCTTGTGGCACAATTGAGCATCCTTTGGATAGATACCCAAAACTGGTTTACTGGGTCTTGAAGAAAGTTGTTTCCTAATTTTTTTGAGAAATCGCCACACTAACAAGATGTCAGTGTTCTTAACTACTAAGTTATCTCTCCAATCCCAAATTTTAATATTTTAAAAACATTCATGTTAGAAACCATAGTAATCTACATTTTTACATTTACTGGTTTACCCAGATGTGTGTGTGTGTGTGTGTGTGTGTGTGTGTGTGCGTGCGTGCATGTGTGCGTGTCTGTGTGCGTGCCTGCATTCCTGGTGCCTGTAGAGGTCAGAAGAGGGCACTGGATCCCCTGGAGTTAAAGGGCGGTTATGAACTACCATGTGTACTGGGAACTAAACCCATATCCTCTTTAAGAGAAGTAAGTGCTCACACTCACTGAGCCATCTTCTCTGGTCTCCATTAACTGACTGACTCCTATGGCAATCCTATGATATATGAACTAAATTTTAACTCCATTTCACAGATGGCTTGTTCTCTTAAAAGTAAATTTTTACATTCAAAATAAGAAGTTCCGGAATTCAGTAATAAAAAGAGTCCAATTTGAAGTTGGACAGAGCTTCCCAAAGACATATAAGAAGGTACTCAAAATCATCAGCTGTCAGGGAAATGTAAATCAGACTCACAAGGCAGCGCTTCACAGAATCAATATGAAAAGGCAGATAATAAGAAGTATTGGTAAGGATGTGTGGAAATCAGAACACTCATATATTACTAGTAAGAATGTACAATGGCACAGCAGCTATTTTGGCAAATAGTCTTATAATTCCTCAAAACTTAGGCGTAAAGCTACTATATGGCCCAACAATTACACAACTAGGTACACATCCACACAAAAATCCGGTACCTAAATATTCATAGCAGCACTGTTCATAAAATCAAATCATGGGAACAATTCAAATGTCCTCCACATGATGAATAAATGCATTTATAACGTGTTTATGCCTAGGTTATCAATAGAAACTAAAGGGAAATAAAGTGCCAATACAGATAAGACTTGAAAACATATAGAGTCAAAGAAATCTGTTTAAAACAAAACAAAAACACACATTGCACCACTCCATTTATGTAAAATCCCCAGAATAAGTAAATATATAAAATCTATATAAAAAGAAAATAGGTTGATGGCTGCCTAAGACTCAGGGAGTGTGGTGGTTTGACTGAGAATAGCTCCCACAAGCTTATATTTAAATGCTTAGTCCTCAGTGGCTGAAAGTGTTTTTGAAAGATTAGGGGTGCGGCATTGTTGAAGGAAGTGTGTCATAGGGGCAGGTTTTGCAATTTCAAAAGCCTATGACATTCTCAGTGTCTCTGTCTCCCCTCTCTCTCCATTTCTATTCCCATCTCCAAGCCCTGATCTACAGGAGCACTCTCTTGTAGGCAGCAGAGACAGACTTACCTAAGACTCAAAGAGGGCAACAGAAACCAAAGATGGAAAAATCACCTAACAAAAACCAGAACAGACATCGGCTCCTAGCCTCACTTCAGTCACTAACTCCAGATGCCTAGAAAGCAGCACAAAACACAACCATTAACCTTCACCAGAACCCAGTACTACTACAGTAGGCCCTGAGAAGTGTAACATAGCTGAAGCATGAGGGCTTTAAAACAGCAAGTGTGAATATGTTCAAGGACCATAAAGATGATATGAAAAAATCCTCTAATGAAGTCTGTGAAAACACAAATGGAATAAAGTAATGAAAACTATTTACAACTTGAGAGTAGAATCTAACAAAGAAATAAAAACACTAAAGAAAACATAAACTAAAATAAACCTGGAAATGAAAAATTTAGAAAGTCAAACAAAAACTTCAGAAGTAAGGATCACCAACAGATTACAAGACATGGAAACAGAGACTCAGGTGCTGAAAACAAGGTCAAATACCTCAGTCAAAGAAAACATTAAATCTA